AAGAGCAGGCTTAGTAAAAGTAGGAGAAAATGTTGAAAAGGCTATTATGCAGATCATATTAATTAATCAGAACACAACTTTTTTCCTTCTTTTTAAAATATATTTTATTGATTATAAAATATTCAGTTATTACAGTTGTCCCAATTTTTTCCCCTTTGCCCCCCTCCACCTGTACCTCCTTTCCTCCAGCAGCCTCCCCCTTAGTTCATGTCCATGGGTCATGCATGTAAGTTCTTTGGCTTCTCCATTTCCTATACTGTTCTTAACATCCCCCTGTCTGTTCTGCACCTACCAATAATGCTTCTTAATCCCTGCACCTTTTCCCCCATTCTCCCTTCTCCCCCTCCCAGCTGATAACCCTCCAAATGTTCTCCATACCTATGATTCTGTTCCTGTTCTGGTTGTTTGCCTAGGTTTGTTTGTTGGTTTTTTTTAAAGATTCAATTGTTGATAGTTGTGAGTTTATTGTCATTTTAATGTTCGTAGTTTTTGACGTTCTTCTTTTTCTTAAATAAGTCCCTTTAACATTTCATATAATAATGGTTTGGTGATGATGGACTCCTTTAGCTTTACCTTGTCTGGGAAGCACTTTATCTGCCCTTCCATTCTAAAAGATAGCTCTGCTGGATAGAGTAATCTAGGTTGTAGGTCCTTTTTGTCCCTTTGAAGACTTCTTGTCAGTCCCTTCTTGCCTGAAAAGTTTCTTTTGAGAAATCAGCTGACAGTCTTATGGAAACTCCTTTGTAGGTAACTTGCTGCTTTTCTCCTGCTGCTTTTAAGATTCTTTATCTGTAACCTTTGCCATTTTAATTATGTTGTGTTTTGGTGTGGTCCTCTTTGGGAGAAGAGAATTCCCCACTTTCTTCTGCCATCCCAACTCCCACTGGTTTTTATAGCCAGAAGTTATGGGGACTTATCTTCCTAGCGCTGGACCCCTGGGCTGGGTGGTCTGGTGCGGGGCTGGGATTTCTTGCTCCTGAGGTATCCCTCCCGATTTTTATCCACCATATGTGGGCATGGGACCACCTCTTTTGCATCTCCACATCTCTGCACGTGTCTCCGCATCTCTGCCCCTCCAACCTGTCTGGATGAATGTGACTTCTTTAATTCCTTGGTTGTCAGGCTTCCATACAGCTCGATTTTCTGATGATTCTGGGTGATAGTTGTTGTGTAGTTGAGTCGTAATTTTTGCTGGTAGTGTGAGGAGGTGAGCCATGTTTACCTACACCTCCATCTTGACCAGAGGTCTTTTCTTCTTGAACAGATATTTTATAGTTACACCAGATAGAGGGAAATTATGATGTTATAGTGCTTAGAATCTGGGCAGGACAGCAGATAGAACAATTTCCCAAACTTTCTTTCAGTACTTAGTCTCTGGAACCATGGTTATAAACAAAGAGCTGATAAATGGTTAAACGCTCTTCATTTACCTTCAGCAATATATAGCAATGAAACACAATTTACAATTTTGTAATTTTTTACTCAATTTCAGAATGTTCCAAAGTAATTGAAAACTATAAATGAAAATATTTAAGAATTCCAGGGAGCCCCAAGCAGCATAAATGTAAAGAAAACCACACCCAGGCGCTGTAGAATCAAATTTCTGAAAACCAGTGATAAAGAGAAAATCTTAAAGATGACACTGATAACTGGTTTCTCATTAAAAACAATGCAAACCAGAAGATGGGGGAACAACATTTTTAAAGCATGGAAAGTAAAGCACTGCCAACCTAGAATTTTATATCTGGTGAAAATTCCTTTAAAAATGGAAGGCGAAATAAAGACATTTTGGATACGCTAAAGCCGAGAGAATTCATCACTAGTGAACTTGTACTACAAGAAATGTTACGCCCTGGCTGGTGTGGCTCAGTGGATTGAGCACCGGCCTGTGAACCAAAAGGTTACCAGTTTGATTCCCAGTTATGGAACAGGCCTGGGTTGTGGGCCAGGTCCCCAGTTGGGGGCGTGCAAGAAGAAAACCAATTGATGTCTCTCTCGCACATAGACGTTTCTCTTCCTCTCTTTCTCCCTCCCTTCCCCTCTCTCTAAAAATAAAGAATCTTTAAAAAAAAAAAGAAATACTAAAGGAAGTTCTTCAAGCTGAAGGACAATGATACCACCTGGATGCAAAGGAATGAAAAGTACCAGAAATGGTAAATATGTAGGTTTGTATAAAAGGCATTTTTCTTGTTTTTAATGTCTTTATTTAATGTCTTGTATTTAATGTCTCAGATAATTAACTGCTTAATACCATTATGAGATTTATAACATTTGTAGAAGTAGAATGTATGAGGACAACAGCATGAAGAATGGGGAAGAGATGGAGTGGGAAGTATATTGTTATGAGATTCTTACATTACAATCAAACCTTGGTTCTCACTCATCACCCATCTTGAATAGTTTGGTTCTCGACCAAGTTGTTCATGGGAAAAATGTCTTGGTTCTCAGAAAAAACTTTGTTTCTCTACCCAACAACCCTTTCGTACTGATATCTGTATGATCAGTTCCTTGTACCATTCAGTTTTCAAACAAATCTCTTCTCGAACAGCCTTCTGGAACAAATTAAGTTCAAGAACCAAGGGTCTACTGTACGTTTAAATACTATAATGTTTAAAGGCAGACTGTGATAAGTTAAAGACGTATACTAAAAAAAGGTATAACTAGTAAGTCAATGGAGGAGATAAAAATGGATTCATAAAAAATAATCCAAGAGAAGACAAGAGAAGAGGAACAAACAATAGATGGGTCAAACAGAAGTGCAGAACTACTGTTGTTTCTGGTATCTTATATCTATCAGGAAAGTAATTACCAAGGGAAAATCCTAAAACATCTTGTATTTATTTCTCAAAATTGGAATGACATAAAGAATAATTAAACATGATACCCAGACTCCCAGAAGTGAAACTGAATAGCTTTTGTTGATGATAATATCAACATTGAAATCAGTTCTGTTTATGATGATAGATTATTTTGGTTCAGAAATGCCTGCAAGCTGGCATGACTTGAAAGGATTTGAAAGAAGTAACATATTAGGGAAAGGAGACCTGAGGTACTCAGTGTTGTCACAGTGGGAGTGGCTGCATGATTTGGGTAGCGGAATTAGAAATGAGCGAAATTAGGATAGCCTCTGAAAGTGGAACATAAAATCAAGCAGAGATATTCCAACTGTACCCCAGACCAGTCAATATTTGACTGACTGACTGAGTGTACTAACATATCTAAAGAGAGAAGGTACATCTTATAACAAACTTGATCATTGTATCAGGAATGCTTTTGACTACAACTAACAGAATACCCTACTTGGAGTAGCTTAAGCCATAGAAACTTTACAAAACTCTGTTAAAACCCCCGAGGCAGCCAGTTCCAGGACTAGTTTAGCAATTACCAGTAACCATGCTATCAAGGATCTGGGCTTTTCCCCTCTCTGCCAGTAATCCTCAACTCATCTCAGGAATGCGGCAGGCTTGCGAGAGTGCCAAGCATTATGTCCTCACATCAGCATCCCAGGCAGGGAGGAGAGGTCAGTAGCAAAAATTCTTCTCCTGATAAGGCTTTACCTTTTTGTCTGGGAAGCAGCATCTTCCTGAGAATACCCCAGAAGGCTTCCCTTTATATTTTGAGATGGATAGGAGAGGCAACTAAAGGTGTCCGTGAGGATCAGTCCTAAAAGTGTAGAAAAAGAAGACTCTTAGAGGCAAAAATTAGCACAGCTCAACCTGGCCCTGTACTGGAACAAGATACCCTGACTGAGACGAGAACTCCAGTAGACTCTTGAGATGGGTGTATGCATATTGTGGAGGTAGATACATCAGCCTCTCCTTATTCAACATTTATTTAAATATACCATTTAGCCCTGGCTGGTGTGGCTCAGTGGATTGAGTGCCAGCCTGTGAAACAAAAGGTCACCGGTCTGATTCCCAGTCAGGGCACATGCCTGGGTTGCAGGCCAGGTCCCCAGAAGGGGGCGCACTAGAGGTAACCACACATTGATGTTTCTGTCCCTCTCTCCCTCCCCCTCTGTCTAAAAATAAAAATAAAATTAAAAAAATGTCATTCGACAGATTTTTATTGCTTCAGGTGTTGTAGTCGCTATAGTAATTATAGCAATAGAAAATCAGACAAAAGTCTTTGCCTTGATGGTACTTAATTTCCAGTAAGTGATGGTACCTTGGCAGAATGCAAGTGATGCCATACTCATCAGTAAATGTTCTGATTATAATTGGGTTTCTCTTGGTCCCCAAGGAGCCCCACATTCACTATGAGTTAAGAAGTTGATATTCTTATTTATTAGAGTTTTGGTTGGTGTGAACCCTGCTAGAGGCACAGATTCAACTTAAGTGACAAATCAATTGTCTGATCTGTGTATCTAGGACCAGTACCTGAACCATGGTGAATTCAACAAGGCATTTCAACCCAGTGAGCCAGTATGGGAGACAGAGAGCCACACAGCTTTCTCCAGTGAACACCCTAAGAGTGCATGTTTCCCCTATTGGGAATGTTTGAACTTATTTATACATGTGAAAGGGATACAAGAAGGAAATGATAAATTACAAGCATTTAGTTTTTTATTTTTATTTTTAAAAGTGCTCCTCTTTAAATGAAACAAATCCAAAAGATGTAAAGTTAGGCTCAAGATGTGCAATTCATACCCTGGCTGATGTGGCTCAGTGGATTGAGTGCTGGCCTGCAAATCAAAAGGTCACAGGTTTGATTCCCAGTCAGGGCACATGCCTGAGTTGCAGGCCAGGTCCCCAGTAGGGGGTGCATGAGAGGCAACCACACATGGATGTTTTACTGCCTCTCTTTCTCCCTCCCTTCCCCTCTCTAAAAAATAAATAAAGTCTTAATTCTAAACAACAAAAAAAATACAATTCACAAGCATGGAGAAAATGAACAAAATGACAGTTTAGGACATTTGGAGTTAACCCAGGACAAGGCTGAAATTGCCACCAGGGGGTTTTCTTCAAGATGGCACTGGAGCAGTGGACGCTGGCTTCTCCTCACTCTGTCCCAGGCTGGCCTGCAAGTCTGTGTCCCTATTTTCATGAATCTCACCTTCTCCCCTCAGATCTAGGAAGTCTCCAGAGTTCGCTTCAGAAGAGTTCCTTCTTTGGGGTCCAGATGGTTTAGAATCTTTTCTGCCATGACACTTGGCACCTGCTGACTTGGCCCATGAAGGGGAATTTTTCTCAGTTGTCCCAAAGGTGCTAGAGGCCATTTTGTTCTTCCTCATGTGTCGTTCTGTTGGTTCAGCAAAGCCTAATGAAAAATTGGATCCATCAGCTGGAGGCCACAAAACCTGCGAGCTGTTGCTGCTGTTGGGGTCGATGCCCTTGAACGTGGTGGTGGTGGTGGTGGTGGTGATGGCGTGGACGCAGGAGGCCGAAGGGCTCATTCTGAGAGGCACAGAGCTACCTATCCGCTGACAGCAACCGCTACAGGAGCCTCCACTGCCTAAATGATAAGCATTTAAATCTGTCCTTTCAAAGGAGTCCTGATCTTGAAATCCTGTCGTTAGTGCAATTACCATGAACTAATAGGATTAAAATTCATCCTCAGAGGAGTCAAGATTAAACAAATTTTCCTATTGATGGACATTTAGGTTGTTTTGTTTTTCTCCCCCCCACCCCGCATTTCAAACAATGCTGTTATGAACATTCTTGTATATGTCTTCGAGCACAGGAGCAATACTTTATAGAGTATATGCCTAGGACTGGAATACTGGGTCAAAGAGTACATGTGATAGATGGATAAGAAGTGGTGCATATATACAATAGACTATGACTCGGCCATTAAAAAAGTGAAAAGGGGTGATTTATTGTATGGGAGAACAACTTAGTTGATCTGCAATAAACGCCAACCTCAAAAGCTACCCTACGCAGCACCTAAAATTTAATCAGTCTATTATCCATGCAATAACTTAAACCCTTTGAGATCCTCCCAACTCCTACCCTGTGCGGCACCGTCAGTTTGTTCTCTGTATCTATGAGTCTGTTTCAGCTCTGCTTGCTTGCTTGTTTTTGGATGGATCGTGAATATGATCTCTCATGTAGGCTCTTTTGTTTTTGTATTATCCTCTTGGGGAAGGTTCTTTAAACCCAGTCCAGCTGGCTTTTGAAGGTTGGGTTAGGACTAAACCAGGGGTGTCCAACCTTTTGTCGTCTCTGGGCCACACTGGAAGAAGAAGCATTGTCATGGGCCATACATTAAATACATTGTGACACATAATCACACACACACACACACACACACACACACACACACACAAATCTCATCATGTTTTAAGTAAATTTACGATTTTGTGTTGGGATGCATTCACAGCCATCCTGGGCCGCATGCGGGTTGGACGCCCCTGGACTAAACTGCCCTTTGAAGGCGGGAACGTTACTTACCATTCCTCCCCCTCCATTACTACCTCGCTCAAAAGCTTGTTTCCATGATCCAGTCAATTAAATCGTAACCAGATAGTGAGAATGAACTGTGTACCCAGATGTGAAATTTAAAAGATGACTCCCGCCTTCAAGAAGCTTATAGTTTCATTGGAGTCTCATGAATGGATACTTCAAATAATTAAACAATACAAGGCAAAGTATAATTAAGTGATAAATCGTCAGATACAGACTTAGTGACATAGAAGTGCAGAGAAAGTAAAAGTTAATAATGATTACAAGAGTCAGGAAGTTCTCTTAGAAGAAGCAGAACTTCAGTTAGGCCCTGTGAGTCCATGAAGGGAGGAAGGCAGTCAGCGAAGGGAATAGTACAGCATGAACAGGCCAGAGCAAGAAACCAGAAAGTTGAGAGCCAAAGCCGCCTTATCTGAAATGAGTCAGGAGGCCAGACAGGAGCCCCTCTGAGGCAGGCACCATTATTTTCAGTCTGTGGCTCCAGCATCAAGCAGACCTCTCACAGAGTAGGAACATGACGTGTGTGACTCGCCCAAACATAACACGAGGAGATGGATTGGAGATCTGTCTACCCAGGGACAGAGTTCCTGTTAGCTAAGTGGTGACTCTCCCTCAGCGAGCTGGGGCTCAGCTCAGAACTTTTCTGAGAGGCATGTTGCTTCCCCCAGGAAATGGAACTGAGTCATCTGAGAATGCAGCAAAAAGGGATGTCTTGCTTATTCAACTCACTTCTGCTGAGGACGCATAGCCCTAGTTGCCTCCAGTATAAGTTTTATCTGGCTTAGTGGTAACACTGCCAGGTCATTCAGGGAACTGTCCTTCCAGGAAATGCTCAACTGGCCATTGATACAGTGGTACCTGGCCAGCTCCCACAGGTGCCTTTAATTAAAACAACACACTTAAGTTAGCCAGCTATGCATAATAGTACAAGACAGAGGGCAAATAGACATGCTCCCTGTTAATTTTTTGAAAACTTTCCTAGTTTCTTTATAAAGGGTTTAGTTATGAAACTGGAAAATTCAATTTGGATAATTTAGTGTCTTTAAGGGAAGAACTCTCTCAAATGTTATTTCTTCCCTGTGGCTTTCCAGGCTACTGTCCAGTCTCTTCATCAAGACTCCTCCAAAACTCCATCCCAGCAGAATGCATTATTTGATTAAAATTGGCAAATTTTTGCTAAGCATGGGATATCAGAAGAAGACAATATGGACACTCTCTCCTAGGAAATTAGCATCTTCTCCAAAGATTCCCTCTCATTACCTTGTTTTATTTCCTCTTTAGACCACTTTACCACTTTGAAATGTTATTTGCTCACTTGCTTGCTGACTTCTTTTCCTTTCCTGTAATGTAAGCCTCCTAAAGACAGGAATTTTTACTTATTTTGTTGCATCCCTAGCATCTATAACAATGTCTGGTGCACTGGAAACAGCTCAGTAAGAATTTGCTGGCCCTGGCTGGTTCCCTCTCTTCCTCCCTTCTCCTCTCTTTGAAAATAAGTAAATAAAATCTAAAAAATAATAATAATAAAAAAGGATTTGTTGAACTCTGGCTGGTGTGGCTCAATGGGTTGAGCGCCCGGTTAAGAAATGAAAGGACGCCGGTTCCCTTCCCAGTCAGGGCACCTGCCTGGATTGCAGGCCAGATCACCAGATGGGGGGCGTGCAAGAGGCAACCGATTGATGTTTCTCTCCCTCTTCCTCCCTTCCCCTCTCTCTTGAAATGAATAAATAAAATCTTTAAAAACATTATTTGTTGAATGGAGTGGAGAATAAGGTGCTAGGGTAAAATCACCTCAACGCTGTGGCCTTGAATTTCTCTGGGCTGGCCGAGACTCTACACTTTTCTACACTAGGAGGCAGGCCGAGATTAAAAGAGGGACAGTTTTTTCTTTCCCCTTAGGTTAGTGGTTCTCAACCTTTGCTTACTGTAGCATCTCCTGTGACCCTTGCCACACCCCTAAGTGACTAACAGAGCTCCAGAGGGTGGGGTCCAGGCCTCTGTAATTTGGAAAACTGCCCAGATGCCAACGCACAGCTAAAGGCAACAATAATAGACCGGGCCTCGAGCCGTAGCAAAGTCGCGCGGCCTTACCGAAGACGGATAAGAGAGAACAGAGACAAGTTTAAGGACTTGGCCGCACTTTGCCCCCACTTCACACCCCAGCTGCACTCAGTGGCGCATCTAATGAACAATGGCGGGGTCAAGCCGATATTTTAGTTAGTAACGCGACCCCACAGCTGATTGCGTCGGAAGCTCTGCGTAACGGACTAGTTTCCCGCCAATGAGCTGAGCTGCTGGCGTGGCGCGGCCCCGCCCCCGGGTAGCGAGGGTCCGCCCCCGGGCGGTGCGGGCGGAGGGGCCGGTCCCTGGCGGCTTCGTGGTGAGGGTGTGGTCTTGGGGAGCGAGCTTCGTTGGTGCTCTCGCGCACGAAGTCGCCATCAGTGTCGCGCTCCATATTGCTTCTACTTCTCTTCGCCGACCGGCGCGCAGGGACGAGGGTCTCTGGTCGCGTGCACGGTGGCACAGCGCGATGAGGCGTGCAGTGCTTCGGTAAGTAGCTGGGGGACGCCTACGCCCGCGCGCCGCTACGTTAGCGGGTCGGGACGGAAGGTCCGGGCTGGCGGCGGGCGGGACTACTGCGTGGGCATTTGGGCGGAAAGTGAGGCTGGGTAGGAAAGGGCGCCCGCCAACCGCGAGCGCGCCACACGTGCCCGCAGCCCTCGGGTGGTGCATCACCCTCCCCACCTTAGTGTCTTCTGGTACTGAGTGCGATATTAAAAGCGAAGCGGCACTTCAAGGGAGGAAGTTGGGTGTTCCCTGAAATTCCTTTCCGTTTGCTCATATGGGGTGTGGTTTAGGGGTAGCCCCTTGTCAAAAAGCTGCTATTTGGAATTCCGCATGAATTTTCCAGTCCTTTGCCCCCCTTTGCAGAGCATCTTTAGGGCTACGTGCTTGGCCCGTTTGGATTCTGACTTGTAATCTGGGCAGAGACTCTAGGGTACTTAATTGGCTCTCAGGACTGTTTGACCAGGACCCTCAGGTGCTGATTGGAACTTTAGCTTTAATGAGCAGCAAAGCAAGGGGAGGAGGGCTTTGATTGGGTCACTTGGGCCAGGAGGATGCTATTTTGTTTTTGTCATCATCCCACCACTCCAGGGTATGTCTGGCTGTCTTTCAAACCCCTTCACCGGAGCATTCCAGCTGTTTTAAGTTCTTTTTTCCTGCCTTCGTCCCAGGGGCCTCCCCGCTGTTCTAGCTTCTGGAATCAGCAGGCGACAGGTGCACCGGCCCCTCTGGTGTGGCCCACAGTGGTTCAGACACTGATCCCCATCAATTCTCTTGGGGGTCCTGGTTCTCTCTCATTGTTCCTGTGGACCTTGCTATCAGTTGAGAAAGGTTCTGTGTGCCTGTGTGTGTGTGTGTGTGTGTGTGTGTGTGTGTGTGTCTGTCTTGTTTACGGCACTTAAAAAATAATAAAAAAAAAAAACACCCTTTATTACACTGCTTGAAGACAGTTTGAAAGTCAGGTCAAAAGGACCACAGAAGGCTTTTGCTTCTGTTGGACACGATGTGAAAAGCCCTCTACAAGCTCCACAGTCTTGCCCATGTACCTTCTCCCAGGATACCTTTCTTGATCTCTTCTTCCCCAATTTGGAAGTCCTCTCTTTGCACGGAATGCCCATCTTCTTCTTTTTGTGAGTTCTGTTGAACCTTAAGCAGGTACTCCCCTGGTGTCAATGAGTACAGAGTATCTGAGGTGATTAGGGTATTTGATCGGTGGGCAATCTTTGTAGCTTCTTTCTCCTCACAAAAGAGCCACGTGAATTTGTTTACTCTGTTTGTAATGTCCTAAATAGAGGCATTACCGCAGAGTGGAGGGCAGGAGTGGCATTGCCTATTATTGTACTGAAAACTCTTCCCAGGCACCCAGCCTAAGCTCAGGACCCAGAACAGAGCCAAGACACTTCTGTTCACACCTCCAGGTGACTTCTGTGACTCCCAAGCAAGCCATGAAGAGGTTGGGCTCCTTGGTCTCCTTTCATCGGAAAGGTTCGGTTACGGAGTCCTGGGGCCTGAGTGTCCCCAAAGCCTCTTGACACTTTCTTCTAAAGGCCTAGGGGTTTTGCTCTAGAACTCCTGAGGGCTTATCGGGGAATAAGCCAGTAACTCTGGGGTACCCTGGTGTTGGGTAGTGATAAGTCATTCTCCCTCTCCCGCACTGCTGCATAAAGGGAAGTAGCCGAGATTGTGAAACGAGCAATTGCACGTGTGTGCGTGCATATGCATGACAGTGGGCCAGAAGAACTGGGCTCTGTCTGCTTGACTGGCACTGGGAAAAGTCATCTAATTTTTGGGAGGGCCTCAGGTTCTTCAGGAGGTTGGTCTGAATCAGAGTTTCTAAATATAGGGGCCTATGGGGGTGTCAAAAGGGGGTTGTCTATAAACCTTCTGAAATAGTGTATACCATTTAAAAAAAGATTTTATGTATTCATTTCTAGTCAGAGGGGAAGGGAGGGAGAAAGAAAGGGAGAGAACCATGAATGTGTGGTTGCCGCCTCTCATGCGCCCCTTACAGGGGACCCGGCCTGCAACCCAGGCATGCACCCCAACCGGGAACCAAACCAGCAACCCTCCGGTTCTCAGGCCGGCTCTCAATCCGCTGTGCCACACCAGCCAGGGCTATATGCCATTTTTATATACCAATTCTCATCAGATTATTGGTAGATAGGATACCAATTTGTAGTAGAAAGTTATAAGCTGAATGTTTATAGGGTAGTAGAAATTTGTTGTACCAATATATGATTAGTATAGTCAACACTTTTTAAAAAGAGATTTTATTTGTTATTTTTAGAGAAAGGGGAAGAGAGGAGAATGAGAGAGAGAGAAACATCCATGTGTGGTTGTTTCTCACGCGCCCCCAACTGGGGACCTGGTCCACAACCCAGGCATGTGCCCTGACTGGGAATTGAACTGGTGACCCTTTGCTTCGCAGTCTGGCAGTCAGTCTACTGCGTCACACCAGCCAGGGCTTATATATAGTCAACAGTTTTTAATAAGCTTTCAAATTATGCCTTTGTTGTGTTATAGGGATATATTTCCAAGTTTATTAAGGCGGTGTGCGAAGAGCAGGGCTGCAGGACTACGGTTTTCCAAATAATGTGGCTCACGTGTTTCTTTATATTCATCAACTCCTTTTCCTATCTCCATCTGATTCACCATTCAGAGATGGCCCGTCATGGTGCCTAGTTTCTGCTTTCTAAATTTCTGGACCTCTTTGATTTTTAGGAGAGACTTCGGAGAAGCATGACTTTCTGGAATAGGAATAGCTAAATTTTTTTTTTTTTAGGACTTATCAGTGTATCAGGCATATTCCTAAGGAGTTAATGCGTATTAACTTCTTTATCCTTATGACAATACTATGCGATAGGTGTTATTATTATCTGCATTTGACAGATGAGGAAACTGAAGCTCTGCGAGGTTAGATGATTTGCCCAAGGTCACACAACTAACAAACAGCACGTTCAGGCTCTTAACCTCTGTGCTGTACGGCCTCTCACTCAGGCGGGATGGGATGGTTTTCATCACTCTTTAGAAAATGCTGCTGCTTAGGGTAACACAAAAAAAATACTTTATTTGGTAAATGTGTATTTACCCAAATATGTGAGATGATTATATACCTCCTGATAGTTTGTGATGAGTATTGAAAATATTTAGCTACTCAGAATCAGATCTCATTTCTTATATTGGGAGCATCTACCACATCTATTATAATTGCTAACTAATATATTGAGGGCATGATTTTTTTTTTGCTCTTTCAGCTAATAGTAGCAGTGAAGAATACATGCTTTTTCCAGTGTTCCTTTTACAACCCAATACATTCATTTGCAGAATGCTAGCTTCTGAGAAGGCAGAATGAAGGGCCGTTTCCTTCAGGAAAGGATTTGAACCTACAGAAAATACATGAAATGAAATAGAAAAAAATTCAGATCACGTTCTGAGAAAACGCAAATTAGAAGATCAGAGTTAGAAGACTGACATTGATATACGTATAAAAGTACAGAAATGGAAAGTTTATTGCGAAAAAATAAATCCAAAATCTATTAGAGAGGCTTATTAGCTATGTGACTAAAGAGTCAACACAAAACCAAAACCCCGAACACTGCAACAAGTGTTCCGGTCTTAGTGGACCAGCAGGGATTGTGCCCCAGCTAGTGTGATGGCTGGATGGCTAAGGAGTTAAATTGACTGCTGAGCATGTGCTCCTATTTTTGTGTTCTTTGCAGTTAGATTAGTTGGTTAGGTGAAAGGACAAGGATTTGTTCTAGCAGCGCAAGTGCTAAGACTGTATGTAGGTCTTACCAGATACTTTTACTGAGAGACTTTTCCTGAATGCTGTATATAATTCAGAAGAGAAATCTGTAGTGAAGCTGGGCTCTAAAGAAAACAAAAAACATAGGGGTACCTCGGTACTCGTCCTTAATTCCTTCCGGAACTCGTGACGAGTCCAACACCGACGAGGACTGAATGATGTAGCATTTTCTCTTGCGGGATGGCGTCGTGACTCATGCAAGTCCTAGCAAGAGCGATGAGTTCCAAGCAAGTGCCCAGTGCTGAAACATTTTTTGGTTCGTCAAAATGTGATGAGTACACAGTCTGACAAGGTCTGAAGCGGACGAGTAATGAGGTATGAATGTATACTTTTTGTTGGGGGAAGGGCAGTCATCACTTGTCCTGGCATTAGGTAGTAAGAATGTACTAGTAACCGGAGGTAGAATGAATAATGGTATTTAGAGTTTGTGACATCTTCAGTGCCTTGCCTTCCTCAGCTGTGCTCTCAACAGACCAGTTTGTCAATCCCTAATATTAGAGGTGTTCTCCTTGGTATGATAGTATATGAGTCACTGCTTAAAGCAATAGTGAATGAAAGCCTACTTGAATAATTGATTTTGGGAGAAAAAGCCAAGCACATTTAGATAAATAGGTGTTATTTTATTGGGGTTAGGAATTTTCTGCCTTAGTCCAATAAATACTCTCTTTGAGTCTGGAAAGGGTTAATTCTGTTTTCAATGTTGATTAACTTATAATTGGGTTTATCTTATTTATTGAGGAGATATTGTGTGATAAAGAACAAAATTACTGTTCATAATTAATTTACCAAATCAATTCTGGGTTTCTGAAGCTAATAAAGTAGAAAGAGTAAGAATAAATGCGTTAAACCTGGTTGATAACTTTTATTTATTTTATAGATAATTACCTAATTGGTCTCTGCTCTCAAGAAATGTTTACTCTGAGACAGGTGGTTGCCAGGTGGGAGGGGGTTGGGAGGCTGGGTGATAAGGGTGAAGGAACTAAGAAGTACAAATTGGTAGTTACAGAATAGTCACGGGGAAGTAAGTACAGCATAGGAAATATAGTCAATAATAGTGTAATACCTTGTATGCTGCCAGGTGGGTACTGGAAATATCAAGGGGAGCGCTGTGCAACGTATACGATTGACTCACTACTCACTATGCTGTATACCTGAAACTAATAGAAGACAATATTGAACGTAAATTGTAACTGAAAAATAAAATAAGAAATATTTACTCTACCTGGAGAGGTCATTTATGGAGTAGCCTCATATGCAAATATGCAGACACTTGAGAAGCAAGTACAGACCCATACAAGACAATATACAGTACAGTATGCACAGCTTAACGACAAGGGTAGTTCTGAGAAATGCATTGTTAGGTGATTATGTTGTTCTGTGAACATCATAGAGTGAACTGACACAAAGCTAGATGGTACATGGCCTACTACACTCGTCAGCTATATGGTATATCACTGTCATCTGTGCGGTTCGTCAGTGACCGAAACGATGTTATTCGGTGCGTGACTGTATGCTAAGTATGTGGGACAGCCAGGTGCTTTGGGAGGAGGCACAGGTCTTTGGGGTTCCCAGGAAAGAAGCCATGGAAACGACCCTAGGTGTTTTTTTCTTGTTTTGTAGGCTTGGTACCTTGAGCAAGGGGCTGCTCACTTCTGGCAGAGGACTGACAAAAGGCTCCCAGAATCCTGCAAATCAGAGAGTCTTCCATATTCATGAAGGCAAGTGTGGCTGTTTACTTTTTAGGCTCATGTGATGAAAAACCCTGTTTTATTTGGGAGGTGTATAGATACTTTAGGGCAAATGAGGCATACCAAAGGAGGGTCTTTCATGAATTTCTCATTTATAAAATGACCAGGATAACTGTGGGTAGAGATCACATTCAGAATTTGAACTTTGGTTCCTGGGAACCTTGGGGACTGAGCCCTTTCAGTTAAATGATTTCCATTTCCCATGTGTAAGCACTGAAGGGGGAGGTACAGAGAAAAGAAATCTAATGCATAAGTAAGAGATGGAAGCTTCAGTTGTACCAACTAAATGCTCCTAGTCCACAATTGTGTTAGAGGGACCCTGTTTAATCTATGTGTAATTGAAATTAATTTCAGTTACTACTGGTAATCTGATATGCAAACTATGGATTTTTATCAGTTTAGGAGTATTCATTATAATTAAAATTGTGGCTTCTTTAAAGGGTCCACGTAAATATATATGTATAAGTATAATTTAAATTTCTACTTTCCTTCTTGGCCATCAGCACTGGCCTTGCTTCTTAACAACTGACTAAACTAGTAACAATCATTTCATGTTAGTGAGCATCAATAGTCTATATCCTGTTGGGAGTACTTTCTGTTTATTCTTTTATTCAGGGAACTCAGGAGGGAAAAAATCAGAAATAAGACTAATTTACAAATGGTTATTTTTTAGTTCTCCATGACTTATTTGTAATTAGAGTTTGCACCAAAATTTGCACCAAACTTATGGTATATAATAGTTTGATAGAAAAATCATTTTTTATGAAGGTTAAAATGCATGTTAACTTAACAATATTTGGTTTTGATCAGTTTGTTATTGAAGGACCATTAATTTCTTGTAACTGGAATGTATAATTTTAAATGCTAGAAAAAAACATGAACTCAACATATTATTTGAAATTTTATAGGTTTATTATTTAGTTTTGAATTACTACTGCTTATCTAATTTATTTATTTTTTATCCATATAGCATGTTCACCTATACACGTGAATCATGGTGTGTGTGGTAATTAATATCAACTAAGTGCTCAATTTTTTTTTTTTTTTACTAATTCTTCTACTTTTGGGCAGTGGGCATTAACTGAAATTAAATCACATTCTTTGCCTTTCCTTGATTTATGTCTTTGCTTCATTTTTCTGGCTTAAGCTTTTCTAACAATTAAGATAGTACAAATACTTATATATGAGAAATCAGTTAGAATGGTCCTCAGATTTGGATATTATTGTTAGGCCTGAACTACGTAATTTGATCTACTGTTTATAAGAAGATAAGTGGGGATTCTGTCCTAGTATCTCCATCCTAAAGGGACTACTACAGACACTTAGACAGCCCCATCAATGAATAATTGGAGTTACCCTTTTTTGTTTGTTTATGTGACCCCCGCATTAGTGCAAGGGTGTTCTTTTCTGTGCTAAGGAGTCATTGTTTCAAGTTTTCAAGAAGCAGAGGCCTGATCTCCTCTCTGAGCTGTTTTTGTGGCATTAAATGGAAACTCATGGATCTTTAAAGCTTTTGAGTGCATGAATCGCTTTTCATAATTCTTGAGTTTGTTGCCATAAGTCAGTTCTCATATTTCTTTGTTTCAATGGATGACCTCTTTATTTTTGTTTCAGTGCGAGATAAGTTGCGGGAGATAGTAGGAGCATCCACAAACTGGAGGTATGCACTCTTGTGTATTCATTCTTTCATTCCGGAAGTGGTACAGTAGGCTGTATTTGGGCTCAGTTGATGGTCTCATTGTAGGGATAGGGGGGTCTGTGTACATAAGTGGGTTGAGGGGTATTTTTACTTGAGGGAGAAGATCAACATTCCAACATACTCATCAGTTGATGCATTGTTGTCATAAGATAATGTGATTTACGTGTACTCTACATTTTTCAAAGTGCATTCAAATATATTACCTCACTGGTTCTCAACAAAATTTGTACAGGTTTATGGCATATATCCTTATCCCCCCCCTTTTTTTTAAACCTATGATGAAATGGAAACAGAGATTGAATGATTAAGCATCAGGGTTTGGGACTTGAATCTAAATTCCTGTGTCGTTTTTCTTTTTTCTTGTTTCATGCATCCTGACTCCTTTGTTGTTTCTTGTTAGTTCACAATTAACCAGGCTTCCATACAGTCTTTCTCTTTCAGTATTTTTCTGCTGTAAAATAGGATGATATTCCTCTTACTGCCAGAATTTTGAGGCTAAAATGAGATAAAAACAAAAAGTATAAGTGATCAGCCCTGGCTGGATAGCTCAGTTGGTTAGAGCGTTGTCCCCATATGCCAAGGTTGTGGGTTCAATCCCTGGTAAGAACATGTAAAAAAATCAACCAATGAACACATAAATAGGTGGAACAACAAATCTATCTTCTCTCCCTCTCTCCCCTCCCCCATTTCTCCCTCTCCTTCCTTTTCTCTCTTTCTAAAATCCATCAATACAAAAATTTAAAGAGTACAAGTGATCACTAGACATATAATTTATTTTTGGTGTAAAAATTATCTAATGACTTCTTAACTCTCTGTAGGAAAATTTCAATTTACTGAAAAATAGGACAAAAGAATACCTATGTTGCCACCATTTGGATTGGATACTTATTAACATTTTCCCAGATTTGCCAATATACCTACATTGGGTGAACTATTTCTAAGTCAATTATAGGTATCATGACACTTCAGCATAGCTCTCCAATAAATAAATATATTCTTCTATATAACAAAATCGGTAGTCATGTATCTCCAAAAAGCAAGACATTCTATTATATAATGAAATTGACAGCAATTCCCTAATGGTATATTACTGATTTATATTCATAATTTCTTAATTACTCCTCAAATATCTTTTATAGCTTTTTTTTAAAAATGAAGATCCAGTGAAGGATTACATATTGCATTTAGTGGTTACAACTCTTTAATCTCCCCAAATCTAGAATAATAGACACTTATCCTTACCTCCCTTTTTTTATCCCTATCTCCTTTTTTTTTTTATCGCTAGGAACTTTAATTTAAAAGGGCCAAGCCATTTTTCTTGTAGAATGGTCCACATTCTGGATTTACCTGAACTTGTTCCTCTGTCTGATATATTTTTTGCAGACTAAACCTCTCTGGCAATAATAAATACTTCCTAACTGAAACTTAAAAAATATTTTATATAATGATATATATATATTTTTTGCAGCCTAAACCTCTCTGGCAATAATAAATACTTCCTAACTGAAACTTAAAAAAAAATTTATATAATGATATATGTATTTTTTGCAGCCTAAACCTCTCTGGCAATAATAAATACTTCCTAATTGAAACTTAAAAAAAATTTTATATAATGATATCGTCAACATTTTCGTTTCCTGTTCTCTTGTCTCTTCGACCTTCGTTGTCTCTTCTTTTTCCTCCCTTTCTGTCTCCTCATGGTCTCTTCTTATTTACCTTTTGCTCTGCCTTCTTTTGGATATACTACACTTTTCCTCCTCTGTCTCTCTTTCCTGAAATTGAAGGCAGAGAGAGAGTGAGAGCGAGCGAGGGAGAGGAAGGGGGGAGCGCAAGCGTGCACTGGGGCATAGAGTATGAGAACTCTCAGGGTGAGACATGGGAACGTAATTCCGTGGCCATGTCGTTCTTTAACTCATATGGGTATATATGCTATTGTGTCCATTTCTGTAGTTTTAATTTGATTTCAAGTATTCTATTATTTGAATACACTTTTTGATGAGGGTGAATATATGGTTCATTTGGGTATATCCATATCACTTAGAAGTATGTTTTTCTTATCTACTAACCTAAGAAATTTTAGCAGAAATTTTTAATTTTACCAAGTAGCAGATATGAAGGGAGGGAAGGAAGCGGGGATGAGGTAGGTCCAGACCTCCTCTTTCCTCCTTTGATGGTGCCTGTCTGGCCAGTATGTCACTGGAATTGTGGGACAGCCCTGCTCTGGTGTTTCATGAAGCTTTCATCCTTTCTTCTCAGAGACCATGTGAAAGCAATGGAGGAAAGAAAATTACTTCATAGTTTTTTGGCTAAGTCACAGGAAGAACTGCCACCTAGGAGAATGAAAGACAGTTATGTCGAAGTTCTCTTGCCTTTGGGCAGTCAGCCTGAATTACGGGAGAAATACTTGACTGTTCAAAACGCCTTAAGGTAACATACTACTATTTTTGTCTTGTTTGTTTTCATTTCTTTTTCTTTCTCTGTTGCAGCTTTGAGATATAATTCACACACCATACTATTCACCTATTTAAAGTGTGCAATTCTATAGTTTTTAGTATATTCAGAGAATTGTGCAGCCATTACCACAGTTAATTTTAGAACATTTTTATGACCCCAAAGTGTGTTATTTTTTAAAATTTATTTATATTTAGGGAGGGGGAAGGGAGGGAGAAAGAGAGAGAGAAACATCAATGTGTGGTTGCCTCTCGCATGCCCCTGACTGGGGACCTGGCCTGCAACCCAGGCATGTGCCCTGACTGGGAATTGAACCAGCAACCCTTTGGTTTGCAGGCTGGCACTCAATCCACTGAGCCACACCAGCCAGGGCCCAAAGTGTGTTACTTTTACAGGGCTATCATGATTTTCATTTAATCCCAGTTTTCTTTATTTCACAGATTTGGCAGGATTCTTGAGGATCTTGACAGCTTAGGAGGTACTGGTATTATTTTAGTATTTCTAAGTAGATACTCAGAGCTATACACTTAATCTTACGGCTAGAAAGAGATTTTTTTAATTCTTTAACTTCTACAGTTGAGGATATTCTAAAAGAACAGAAAAAGAAGGACTACTACCTCTGAATTGTCATATTTTTTCCTGGAAATTTTGATTCCTATTTAATAGTAATAATCTGATTAATCCTCCTTTCTAATAACTTTTTCAAAAGTCTTAAAAGTTGCAAATAAGTACAAAGATTTGTTCTTCCCTGAATCATGGGAGAGTATGTTGCTGACACGCACATCACCCCCAAGTATTTTCATGTGTATTTCCTACAAACAAGGACCTCCTACATAACCACCATACAATGATGAAAGTCAGGAAATTAACACTGCGTAGTCCTCAGACCCCATTCAACTTGCACCAGTGGGCCTTTATAACAGAAGGATCCAGCTCTGAGTCACATGTTGCATTTAGTTGTCGTGTCAGGAATAGTTTCTCAGTCTTTCCCTGACTTTCCTGACCTTGCCACTTTTGAAGACTATAGGCTACTTCTTTTGTGGAATTTCTCTCCTTTTGGGTTTGTTGGATGCTTCCCCAAGATTATATTCGGGGCATGCATCTTTGGCAGGAATGTCACAGAAGGGATGCTGTGTTCTTACTGCAGCTTATCAAATGGTGCGTAATTCTAATTTGTCCCATTACTGTGATGTTAACCTTGATTCCTTGTTGAAGGTGGTGCCTGCCAGGCCTTTTCACTGTAAAGTTACTCTTTTTCCCTTTGTAACTAATAAGCACCTTGTAGGGAGGTACTTTGAGACCTTGTAAATATCCCATTCCTTACACTTTTAACTTACTACTTTAAAATCAATATGGACTCAGGGATTCCTGTTTTATTAAGTGGGTTATAATATGTTACTTAATCTATTTTGATGCTCAAATTGTCCCAGACTGTCCTAGTCCCTTCAAGTTGGCTTTTGTGTTTTTTTAAAAAGATTTTATTTATTTATTTTTAGAGAGAGGAGAAGGGAAAGAGAAGGAGGAGAGAGAGAAACATTGATGTGTGAGAGAAACATTGATCTGTTGCCTCTCACATGCCTCCCAACTGGGGACCTGGCCCACAGCACAGGCATGTGCCCTGACCAGGAATTGAACTGGCAACTTTTTGGTTTGTGGGACAATGCCCAACCCACTGAGCCACACCAGTCAGGGCTGTGTTTTTTTCTCTTTCTGATGTGTCCTCATCATTCTTTGAGCATTTCCTTTCTTTCTGGCATGGCAACATATTCTACGTTTATTTATTTATTTTTTAAAAAGATTTTATTTATTTCTAGGGCGGGGAAGGGAGGGAGAAAGAAAGGGAGAGAAATATCAATGTGAGATAGATACATCCATTTGCCCCTCACATGCCCCCAACTGGGGACCTGGCCCGCAACCCAGGCATATGCCCTGACTGGGAATTGAACCGGCAATGTTTCGGTTTGTAGGTTGGCACTCAGTCCACTGAGCCACACCTGCCAGGACTGTTCTAGGTTTATTTGTGCTTTCCCTGTCCTAGTCCTGGAATCACCCAGATCTCCAAGGAGCCCTGGTTCTTTTTAATGGAGAATGGTAATTAGAAACGAAGATCTGGGTGCTAGGAGTGGTCATTGCTGCTGGAGTTTGACTCTTCCTTGCCCTTCCATTGAATGAGCAGGGAATATATGCACATACAACCATTTACCTCTGTGTCTATCTATCTGTCTCTCTCTCTCTGAAAACCATGGGTTCACACTGATAATTCCAATGTAATACCACAGCTTCCTTCTTATTTCTTCCCTTTTCATATTTGTCAATTCCCTTCTCCGGCTGGCTCCATTATCCTTAATACATTTATTTACTTGATCAGTTCTTGTGGATGTAGCCATTTTCATCCCTCTGCCACCCCCAGCCCGTCACTGATGCTCCCTTCACCTTACTGGGGTTCTACTCCATGCCAGGTCCCCTTCTGCAGGTCACCAGGTCACCCTCCTCATTGTGCTCAGGGTGCACCACGCTGGGCTCTTGCTCTTGCTGCCTCTCCGCATGTGCTCCTGAACCCGCTTGGGTTTCAGTGTCCTTCTCTGGGCCACCTTGCTTGCTCCTGCCTAATCACTTGTGGAATGAACTGTTGCAAAAGGGTTTAAATAAAGAAAGGTTCTAATTACTTTAAAAATACAGATGTAAGTCCGTTGTTAGGCTCACAGCTAGCTACTTTTCTTCTTCAGATTAAATAAACCTGGTTAAAGTTTCTTTACTGGCCTTTAAAAAAATTGAACACACACATATTTGACTTGGTTTCCTTAAGTGTCCCTAAATATTCAAACTCCCCTGCTACTACTCTGGTTTTTCCTCATTGCCTCCTATTGATGACCAATCTCTTTCACCTGTTGACTTGCTTCTGTTCCTTCCATTTCTTCAAGGAACTTGCCTTATCACATATTTAAGTTTCTTTTAAAATGAAAGGTAAAATTCCCTTCCCAGTAACACTCTCCAGCTGTCTTTCTCCCTCACTTGAGAGCTAAGTCTCTGGAAAGACTTAGAAAAAAATTATTTCCTCTCATTGCTCTGTATGCTGACCTCCTGTTATTTCCCAGCCTGCCACGTTCTGCCTTCTGCTCCTCATGCCACTGAACTGCTCTTGCCAAGCTCTGCACTGGCCTCCTCGTTGCATGGTCTACGGAGTGCTTTGCGGGGCTTGCTCAGCCCCTCTGCGGCGCCCGATACTGTCCGACTTCGTGGACTTTGGTGCCATCTCCTCCTGCCTCTCTGATAGCTCCTTCCTAGTCTCCCGTGTAGGCTCCTGCTTCTCTCTTGATCCCTTCAGTGTCGCCTCTTCCCAGGGTTTTGTCTTCTGCCCTTTTTTTGGTTACCTGCACATTCTCCAGAAATAATCTCATTGCTCGCCGTGCTTTAGTTGCTGCCAGTATGGGGCATCCTTAGGAAGGTAGGTTACCTGGCCTGCTTTTCGGAGTTCCAGACCGATTTGTCCTCCTGTCTCCTGCACATCTCTTGGGTGGGCTACAGGTTCCTTGAATTCAACATGTTGAAACAGCCCCTTCTCTTGTTCCTGTATTTTCTTTGTCAGCGAAAGGTACCCCATCTTCATTCATGCCAGTTGGAAACCTGGGTTTAGTCAAGCCTTGTCAAGTCTCCCTTCTCCTTAGCTCGTGGATCTTTTCTGTTCTCTTCATTTCCACTACTATTGCCATAGGTCAGAAGCATATAGTTTCTTTTCTGGGTACCATAAACGCTTTTAAGTGGAGTTTCTTTCCTTTAGCCTCTCATTCCCCCGGTACATCCTTTAGCGGGTGCATGGAGGGAAGAATTTATTGTCGCTCAGCAAATACTTATTGTGCACAGACCCAGTCCTGAGGGCTGATGATACACATTTGAATGAATCATGGGGGAAGAAGGGAGGCCACTAAAGACAGAAGTATAATACAGCTTTCGATGAGTCGATGATTGTGAGGTGCATAGAACCATGCTTTGCACATAGAAATGCTTGTTAAAAAATGGAAAGTATACAGCTAACCACAGGGTGGTGTAGAAGCTGAGGGTGTCATGGGGAAGGCAGGAGAACTCTTGAGTGAATAATTGCTTCATGATTAGGAAGGAGTCAGGAGGAAAACAGGTAGCTGAGTTTTTGTGATTGTTTTTCTTTTCTGAGAATGTTTGATGCTGCCAGACTTACGTGCTGGGGTCTTTTTCTGGTTTAAGCTCTGTCTCCGTGGAGTGGTGACAAGTCGCCTGGTGGGCCTGGGCTTTGGGCTTCGATTTCCTCACCAAATCTAAAACTGGGCACTTACGTTAGAGGGTCCCCAGAACTTTTCAATGTATAAAGTCTTGGGTCCTAGGATAAGACCACCAGTGGAACGTGGGGGGTTGCAGCTTCAAAACAAGATAATACTTTTAAAAAAGATTTTATTTCTTTACTTTTAGAAAGAGTAGAAGGGAGGGAAAAGGAAAGGGAGAGAAACATTAGTGTGTGAGAGATACATCCATCCGTTGCCTCTCGCACACCCCCCACTGGGGACCTGGCCCGCAACCCAGGCATGTGCCGTGACTGGGAATCGAACCAGCCTTTTGGTTTGTAGGGTGGCACTCAATCCATTGAGCCTCACCAGCCAAGGCAAGAGGAGACTTTTTATATATTTCAGGGAGTGAATTGTAAATGCTCAGAAATAATTTTGCTTTGCCTTTATTTGGTTCTCTTCTGTTTCCCTACAGTTCTTATTTGCTACATGCACACCAAAATGCATTCAACTAAGACGTCTCCTTTATCGATAGTTACAGCTCTGGTGGACAAGATTGGTAACCAATAATTATTTCCTATGCATACTTAGAATTCCTAATAATTACAAGACATTACTATTTTAAAAAAAATTGTCTTTTTTATTTTTCAATTACATACAATACTATATTAGTTGACATACGATATTATATTAGTTCCAGGAGTACACTCCAGTGATTAGATGTTACATAACTTACTAAGTGGTCACCCTGGGAAATCTTGTACCCATCTGACACCACACATACTTATTAGAATATTATTGACTATTCCCTCTCCTGTACTTTACATCCCCATGACTCTTCTGTAAGAGGCAATTTAATTACAAGATATTATTGAGATAAGAGAAAATATTTTCTTTTTATGGAGGAATTTTTATGTATATATGCGTGTGGAAATGTCTAGAATGATATTTACCAAAATATTTATTACAGTTATCTTTGAGTGGAAAGGATTTTGCATGGTTCCAGTTTTATTTTTTTATACTCTTTCCATTGTCTACATTTTTCAGAAAGACATGTTTCTTTTGTATGTCAAAAAAGCCGTTATGTTTAGAAGACAAAAAAGGAATGTAGTGGAATTTACCAGCATTTTAAATTGTCCATTTACAGCAGAGAAAATTTTGGGTACAGTTTGAACGCAGATTGATTTTCTGTTTTGCAGACATGCGTAAGAAGAGCGTAAGCCCAGAACAGGATATCAAGTTCAGTGGCCACGTTAGCTGGGTTGGGAAGACATCTCTGGAAGTGAAGATGCACATGTTTCAGGTGTGTAAGCGCCCGCAGGTTGGCCCTTTCTTCCCATACAACCCACTAGTCTTAGTGAAAGAAAAGCTTGTTTCCCTCTGTGTCCTTAGACAGGTATATAGCTCCCCCGTTCCAGAGAAACAATTGAAAGTTCAGGTCACAAAGCTGGTGGGTTATTAGCATCCTCCTCCTGGACAAGACTGACACATTATTTGGTGTTTAGTACTTTCAGATCATCTCAGCTCCATGTTAGGGTGCTTGTTTCTGCTTTTGTCTGGAGAATTTCTCAAAAGTCTGAGTTACGTTAGGCATGAATGGGATTGCTCAGTGTGTTAGTTTCCTAGGACTGCTGTAACAAGGCGCCGCAAACCAGGTGGCATCAAACAACAGAAGTTAATTGTCTCAAACAGTTTTGAGGCTAGAAGTCCAAGATCAAGGTCTCGGAAGGACCATGCTCCTAAAATCTGTAAGGGAGAATCCTTCCCTGCTTCTTCTCAGCTTCTGGTAGTTTGCTGCCAGCCCTTGGCATTTCCTAGCTTGTAGCTGTAACACTTCAATTTCTGCCTCCATTGCTACATGGCGCATCCCCTTGTGTGTTTGTGTGTCTGTGTCTCTTCTGTCCTTATTTTATTTTTATTTTTTAAAGATTTTATTTATTTATTTTTAGAGAGAGGGGAAGAGAGGGAGAGAAGCATCGATCAGTTGCCTCTCATATGCCCTCAGCTGGGGACCTGGCCCGCAGCGTAGGCATGTGGCCTGACTGAGAATCAAAACAGTGACCTTTCAGTTTGCAGGCCAGCGCTCAGTCTACTGAGCCACACCAGCCAGGGCTCTCTTCTCGTTTTATAATGACATCAATAATTTTGGATTAGAGCCCACCCTACTCCAGTATGGCCTCATCCTTACTGATTATATCTGCAACAACTCTATTTCCAAATAAAGTCACATTTATAGATCCCAAAGGGTTAGGACTAAGACATATCTCTCTGGAGGACACAGTTCAACCCAGAACACTCACTTTGACTATTAGCAGCAGTTAGGAACAGCCTCTCTAATGAGCAAAACACGACATAGCTATTATTAAAAAAAAGAAACAATTTAACAAGAAAAACTACCTCAAAGAGGATAATAGCACAGAAATCAAATAATTCAGCATATGTTCAAGATTTCATTATGAAAACTTATTTAAGAATGACTTAGTTATGCCAGGGTATTGCAGTAGACCTGTTTTTCAGATTCATTTTTTCTGTTATGGAATTATGAAGCACTTGACCTTTTGGAAAAAGTCTGAAGCTTGCTCTGTAGTAATTAAAAAGTTATTTGTTAGAATAATTTAAATAGTTTTTCATACGATGCTATATGTAAGCAGTTGGATTCTCGGACTCCCGTGTAGCTGTAAATGACAGTAATATTGTTTTTAAAACAAAACACCATGAAGTTGCTGGAGATGCGGCTATGATTTGTCCACATACTTTTTTAATCTTTAAGATTGATTCCTCGCCTGCTCAGTGCCACATGCAGCAGATTGCAGGCATAGGGCCAGCTTTCTAGGCAAATTTTACAGTTTGAATCTTGGACAAGTAGATTGAAAAAGAAATACAGGAAGTGTTGGGAGGAGAGAGCCAATGAATATTAGTGTGTCAGGCAAGTACAAACTTTTGTTTTCAATTTGCATTTCTCATTCACTGTTTTGCCTAATAACTCATTACTTGAGCGATCTATTCCAGGGAGGGAGCTTGGTGATAGGTGCCCTGCCTCTGGTTTGGTGCCCGGCACGTAGGTTCAAATCCCAGCTCTGCTTTTTATTAGCCACGCAACTGTGGATAAATCACTTACATTCTCTGGGCCTCTCTCTTCTCAAGGGCAACTTGGAAACAGTAATAACACCACCTTGTATGGTGTGGTGCAGGCGAAATGGATAAAAACAGCCCATCCCTCTGAAGAATTTGGTACGTTGCCTGTCACGCAGTAACCAGTAATCAAGTGTTGACAATAATACTAATTTATTATCATTACTGTGGAGATGGCCCCAAATGTCTATGCCAGGCTGAACCTTCAGACTTGCCTTTCTGAGTACCCATCACATCTCCCCTGACGTGGGTTCTTGCTGTCTCCAGTCCAACGCATTTCAAATTGAGCGTGTCAGCTTCCTTTCTAATCCCGATCTTCCTCCGGTTTTTCCCCTTTGCCAGCCTCCTGGTTTCCCAGTTCTAAACCTTTGTGATAGCATAAGTTTTTCCCTTTCCTGTGCAGCCTTTGCCAAGTCTTGCAGATTCATCCCCCTCAGCATCTCACCAGGCCCCTTTCTCCCCCCCCCCCTTGGCCCCTGTGTTCCATTCAAGCCCTCACTACCTCTTGTGTGAATACCTGAGCTGTCTTTTAACTAATCTTCCTGCCTCTAGCCTGTTCTTGCTCTGTTAATTTTATACATTTTTATCAGGTCTTCCAAAGCTGATCTTAAATCACATCACTGTCCTCCTCAAAAACCCTCAGTGACCATTATCTGTGCAATAAAGTCTAAACTCCTTTGACTAGTTAGGATCCAAGGTGCTCCGTAAACTAGCTCCAACCGACCTTTCTGTCTAGAATCCCTCCAGCGTCATTTATATGCCTTCTTAGAGGCCACTGCTGGATACCTTGGGCACCCTGAGAGTAGGGAGTTGCTCATCTTTGCATTCCTGATGCTTGGCGCTAGTAGGTGTTCAATATAATGAACCATAATTTATACGGTAAGCAAGTGGCCAAGCATCATCGCTTAGGCTCCTTCCTTTGTCTGAAACTCTTGTGTTCCAACTCTGCACATCCACATCCCACTTGTGCTTCCAGGCCACTCCATGTTTGAAGCCTTCCCCGGCCCTCCCAGCTCACAGTGCCTGGCCCTGCCCACAATGCCTGCCTCAGTACCCTTTCTCTGACCTGCTCGTCTGTGCTCCTCAGAGCTACATAGGCATGTGCTTTCTCTTCCACTAGACCATATGCCCCTCAACAGCGGGACTTAGGTGTGAGTCACCCAGCCCACTTCCTAACATCTGCACATTTAACATTTGCTTAGCAACCATGGATTCCGTGCCTGTTCTGTGCTAGGTATACAGCCGTGAGCAAAACACAGTTCCCTTCTCTTGGAGTTTACATTCTGGTAGTCCTCAATAATTCCATGCCTTAGTTCGTACATCCGCAGGCATTGGTCAGGTATCTGCTATCTGCCAGTCTGTGCTAAGTGCTTGGGGTACAAGTGTGAATGAAAATGGCCTTTGTCTTCAAGGAACATGGTGCAGCAGGGCGTGGTTTAGTATGGGAAGTATCACGCAGCATTTCTCAACAGGGACGCTATTGGCATTGTGTGTGGGAAAATTCTTTGTTCCGCAGGACTGTCCCCTCCACTGTGAAGTGTTCAGCTCCTTGCTTATCCCCATCCCACTAATAATGTCTCTTAAGCCTTGTGACAACCCAGTTCAGCCCTACACGTTTCCAAATCCCCTGTGGGGGTGAGAATCAGTGTCAGGAGTGGACTTGGTTCTCCTTTCGCTGGTAAACAAAGGAGGGAACAATGAGCTATGCCTGGGGCGTAGGGGTCGGGGTTTGCCCTCGGGCAGGGAGGAGTGGGGTATGAGGAATCTGGCAGGAGAAAGGTGTCAGGCAAAGGCACGGAGGGGAGGGGCTTGACCCCGTGGTCCATTCTGGGACCTTCAAGCTGTCAGCCATGGCTGCGGGGATAAAGGCTCAGCTATGATGGAGTGTCTGTGAGCGGCTGGAGAGGAATCAGAGCTCTGAGGTGGAGGGCTTTATGTACAGGGCCCATAGGCTTAGAGCAGATGCTAGAAGAAAGTTGAAGGGGAAGGTAATAGGGCATGACCAGGCGTTAGAGACTGAGTGCTAGTAACAAGGAAGGAGCTGAATGTACCCTTAGGTTAGGATAAGATTTTATGGTGTGATTGTCCTGAAAGCTCAGACTTCTAAGGGATAAAGAAACACCTTAAAAACCTCAAAGGCTTGTGCATTGTAAATATTTAGTTTAATCCACAGAATTGTCAGTGATCTTTCCCCTTCTTGGGAGCCCCCGGGCTCGGCTAAGGAATCATAAACAGTGCTGGTAGTTGGCACACTACCCTGAAAATACTAGTGTCTGTGAGAGTGGCAGGAGGCCCACCTGGCACTGTGTGCTGTTTTGAGGACAGGTAGGCTCGAAGAAAGCCAGATTCTGCATGAAGCAGGACAGTGAAACGATGGTGTGGAAGGTCCCTCCGAGACCCCTGCCTTGGGGTCCCAGCCACGCACGGCTCCAGAGCCTGCCGTCTGCGTCCATCCTAGCTAGCATTTCGCGCAGTGCACTGTTTGGGATTTTGGCATATCTTTCTCCTGCTAGACCACAGGCTCCTGGTCCATTGCCATCCCCACCAGGGCCTAGTTCTGTGCCTGGCAACTCAGCAGCTGGTGGTTCATGAATGTACTTCTCCTCTTCGAATTGCAGCCTTTCTCAAAGCGTGCATGCCAAGCGCTATAACTGTAGGTCTTCCCAGGAAATGTATTTCTTACATGTGCATTTTCTTTCCTTTGTTCTTTAGTTACACGACAATGAATTTTGTCCTGTTTTGGAAGCAACATTTGTAATGGTGGCTCGTGATTCTGAAAATAAACGGTAATTGTTCTTTTTTTCCTAATGCATTATTTTGAAGAATTTTAAAGATTTATAATACTGGAGAGAAGAGTATAGTGGATGTCTGTACCTGTCACCTAGACTTAAGAGTTTTTAACATTTTTGCCATATTTGCTTCATCTGTTTTTTTGTAAGTATATTACTTTTTAAAAAAGATTTTGTTTATTTAGTTCTAGACAGAGGGGAGGGGAGGAAGAAATAGAGGGAGAGAAACATCCATGTGTGGTTGCCTTTCCTACGCCCCCACTGGAGACCTGGCCCACAACCCAGGCGTGTGTCCTGACTGGGAATCGAACCAGAGACCCTTTGGTTTGCAGTCCGGCGCCCAATCCATTGAGCCACACCAGCCAGGGCTAAAGTATATTATTTTCTTCATAATATTTTAAAGCAAATCCCAGACATAATGACATGTCACCTCTAAATACTTTAGTGTAGGCCTCTTTTGAAAAATGAGGATATTTTCTGAAATAACTACATTACTAGTAGGATATCTAACTAAAATTCTAATAAACCCTTAGTATATTCTGGTAGTTCATATTCAGTTTTCCCCAAATATCATTTTTATGATTTGTTCAAATTAGGAGCCAAACAAAGTCCATATATTACACTCGATTTTTATGTCCCGTAAGCCCGTTTTGTTGGCTGATGGTTTTATTGAGATATAATTAACCCATTGAGGATGAACAGCTTTATGGCTTTTAGTGTATTACAGCTCACAGAGTTGCGTGGTTTATAAAGGCTGTTTAAATCCAGAGTAGCTGTGTGTCCCCACTGGCCCTTTATCATTTTATCAACTCATTGAAAGGCCAGACTAGTTCTTCTATACAAGGTCCAGCTTTCTGGATTTGTCTGATTGCTTCCTCATGGTATATTTTTTTGGCAAGAGTACTTCATAGGTGAAGCTCTTGTATGTCATATTGCATCATATCAGGAGATATAGATTGTCTTACTCATAACGATGCCAAGATCGATGCAAGTGTTCAAGCGGTGACAGGCTGAACTTTCCACTGTAAAGTTCGGTTTATCTGCTTATGATCAGCAATGATCTACTGCAGTGCAGTGCAGGGTCCAGAGTATACTTCTTCATCCTGTGCGCAGCTAGGTCTCTGTCACTATTTCTCCAGGGCTCTTAATGTCCATTGTTGATATTACTTTAATCATGAGGGAGTGTAAAGTGGTTTTCAAATTCTGTCAGTCTTTCGACATTTATTAGCTGGAATTCGGTAAAGAAGAGCTTTTCCTTATGAACTAGGGCAATTTGGTTTGTAAAGGGAAGTCGAGATTAAGGTTTCATTCTTGCCCTTTATTTAGACATTTGCAAAATAACGAGTTGGTTAATTAGCTAGTGATGACATGGTTTTTCTACTTTTTTGGCTTTTTAAAAAAGTATCATTGTGAGTTCATGGATTTTAATATATAAACGTATTCCTCTGAATTGCATCCATTGTTCTCGCTGCTCATAGTATACCAGATGGCCTTTGGTCAGTGGGAGCTCCATTAAGCTGGCTCCTGTGACAAGCTCTTTTGGCATTTCCCCCATTAGTCTTTGATACCTGTCTGCTCTCTGGTGCAAGGTGATATCTTGGGCTTATCTTACACATTTTCTGCCTTAGTCCTGGAATCAGCAATTTCTCCTAGAAGTCCTGGGGTTCCTTTAAGTGGGAACTGGTATTTCGAGCCCAAAATCTGGGCACTAGAACTGTGTGCTGTTACTAGTTTATCATTGTACCTAGGCCTTTTCAGTGGACAGAGCTTGGATGTATGTTAAAAGCAAACAAACAACTAACCTCATTAATTTATACTGTAATTTTCAAGTCAATTTTTTTTTTACAATTTTGTTATTATGGGAGAACATTTAATAATGCAGCATGTAAATATAAATGCAGCATGGCAACAGGTATAGTGCCATGGATACTTACGTGGTGTTTTTATTTTAAAGATTTTAATTTATTTGAGAGGGGATGGGAGGGAGAAAGAGAGGGAGAAACATTGATGTGTGGTTGCATCTTGTGCGCCACCCCCACTGGGGACCTGGTGTGCAACCCTGGTATGTGCCCTGACTGGGAATCGAACTGGCAACCCCTTGGTTTGCAGGCTGGCATTCAATCCACTGAGCCACACCAGCCAGAGCTCAGGTCAAGTTTGATAGCGCAGGCTTTAACTTATTTGGCTTTATACTTTATTTTTTTTCTTTTAAAGTGAATTCTTGGTTCCTAGCAACAGTTACACCCAAGGCCTTCAAACAGGCGAAAAAGATTGATCTAGTTGTGTGTGTGGGAGTGGGGTGGGAGAGAGGGCTACAGAATTGCTATTTGTACAGCTCAGAGTCTAGAGGCCAACGGGAAGTCTAACTTATATAAGAAACCTGAGTTAGGAGCCTGCAATGAGAAGTCATGTCTGCTGCATGGAAAGCTGACATGGAAAATTATGTCAAGATTGAAAGAAATACCTTGGTGACTGATGTGAGCGAGGAAAACACCTGTCTAGTCTAAGGCCCCCAGCAGCCCCAGCTGACCCGCTTGCCGCTCCTGGTGCCTGGCCTGGGGCTCCTTTGTCAGCACTGAGGGGCATTAGAGCTCCTCCCCCATCTGATGTATTTCAGTTTTCCAAGCTGCCATTTCAGTGCTTTTCTTTCCATTGTTGTTGCATCAGACTTTTGGATTCTATCACAGTGCAATACGATCTTCCGTTTTGCTCAGTTCTTCATTCTAAAACATTTGACACCTACAGAAAAATAGAATAATGCAATGAACACCTATATACCCTTCACTTAAATTCACCAGTTAACGTTGTACCACCAGTCTTATCTTCCTGCCCTCTGCATAAATACACACGTGTACACATTTCCTCCCTGAATTGTCTGAGACTTTCTCACCCATAGAGAGTTCAGCATGTATCTCCTGGAGAATAAGGTAATTCTCCTACATAACCTCAGTGCTTTTATTAGAGCCAAGATATTGAACAGTGATATCATTGTATTATCTAACAGATGATCCATATTCACACTTTGCTAGATGTCCCTAAAATGTCCTTTATGGCTTCTTCCCCTAAGGTAGGATTTGATCAAGGATCATGTACTGCAGTTGGTTACTGTGTTTCTTTAAAATAGTCCCCCTGTCATTTTCTGTCTTTCAAGACATTGCTGTTTTTGAAGAGCCTGGTCTAGTTGTCTTGTAGAATGTTCTACAACCTAGTTTGGCTGTTTCCTCATGATTAGAATCAGGTGAAACATTTTGGCAGCAGCCGTGTCCTTTTTATAATATGAACTCTCTACTACTATACAGGTAAGTCTGTAGCCAGAAGCCTCCCGTAATGGTCCCAGAGTTCTTGTGTGAGGTGGCCAGTAAGCATTACTCAAAATGACCGGCAAAGACTTTAGTGGGTGATTGGTCATCTTCCATTTTCGTTAGATGATAATGTTTTAAACTATACTTTTTTCTTCTCTTTAGGTCGGCCTTTGTAAACCCACTCATCCCTGAAGGCCCCGAGGAAGAAGAGCTCTTTAGACAAGGAGAATGTATATTAATTTGTTTATAATAAGATAAACTTTTAAAAGCAGAGTTTTAGAAACTGTACTGCAGAGGAGATTATTTAAGAGTATGTACGGACTCCTCGTACTGGTCAAGTGTGTTACTCATTCCAAGAATTTATTGAAATTAAAAATGCCTTATATTTTGTTCCATGAAGTCCATACTTGGAACATTTTTAGGGATCAGCCAATATTTATTAATTGAAGTAATTTTTTGGTCTTTTTAATAAAATGGGAAATGTATCTTAACAAAATCACTGTTGGTTGGGGCTCTAGGTCAAGGTGATTACAAGTGGTTTTACACTGAGCTGATGCAATTTCCATCTGAAAGCAGTGAATCACTGAAGGTTTTTATGAGATACATGTACAGTTTCCAGTGGGATTTTTGCAGCCTGGAAATACTGTCTTTGTAGAGTCCCAGGCAGCCGAGGTCAGGAACCCCAGTGTGTAGTGTGACCCTCCTGACCTTCACTTTTTATTGTCCCATGTTTCAGTGAATAAGAGGAGAAGGGTTGCCTTTAGCTCCACGTCATTACTGAAAATGGCCCCCAGTGCCGAGGAGAGGACGACCATCCATGAGATGTTTCTTAACACGCTGGATCCAAAGTAAGTTAGGCTGGCGAGAGTCCACACTGGCAAAGTATTGAAACTTTGGCCTTCTCCAAAATCAGGCTTGCCTGAACATATTAGGAATTGTTTGCATATATTTTACCTTTCAGCAGCTAATCTATGGGCTTAACAGGGTTTACTGAACCTCTATTTGCTCAGGACTATAAGTTTTCGAAGTCGAGTTTTGCCCCCTAATGCAGTGTGGATGGAGGATTCAAAACTGAAGAGCTTGGAAATTTGCCACCCTCAGGTATTGTGGTTTAGTGGAGAATCTTCTAAACAGGACAGCTTGCCTCCTGGTAGTCATCTAAGATTTACTCTCTTTAAAGTAGCATCTCTTCATTGTATTGTTGATCCCTTTGTTCTGTATATAAGGGTGGCCATGAGCTTGTATTTCTTAATACTCCTTTTTATACCCTATAGGAGAGAAACATTTTCAATCGGATCTTTGGCGGTTTCCTTATGAGGAAAGCATATGAACTTGGATGGGCTACTGCTTGTAACTTTGGGTGAGTTAGATTTAAGGTAGTCTTAATTTCTGAGAAGCAATTTTTACTGCCATCAAAATGCAACTTTTTTTTTTTAACATGCCCAAGAAAGCAAAGGCGAGGGTGTGCTCCAGAAGGAGCCTGCTGAAGGGAGACATTCTGGACCCGTCTGGATGTGTTGGGGGGGGGGTTGGTTGTGTTTTTAAATAAATACCGCACTGATACCAGCTGGGGTTGATTCTTACTGTACAAGAATGTTACTTTTACTAGGTAATTTAGTTCATTACAGGCATACCTCGTTTTATTGCGCTTTATAAATGTTGTGTTTTTTATAAATTGAGGGCAAGACCATCTACCAGCAAAAGGTTATGACTCACTTTATTTCAGTGCGTACTTTCTTTTCTGATCATTGAAACTTGGCTTCAGCCAGTCATTAGGGACAAGATAGAGATCCTCAGACTTTTGCAGGTGACACTAAGTTCTGCTTCTCCCAATAGTGGTTCCCGACCGTTTGTAGTAGCAGTGGATGACATCATGTTTCAAAAACCTGTTGAGGTTGGATCATTGCTGTTCCTTTCTTCCCAGGTAGGTGTGCGACAAGATAAAATACAATTTTTTATCATTTGGGCCCAGAAGAGAAGCTCTTATATTGTAATGCTGCTGCTTCTTCGTATGACTGCCCTCTTCCTCCTTCCCAATATGATTGACTGACTGCTTGTCATGCCTATAATCCCTTAGGTTTGCTTCACGCAAGGCAGTTACATTCAAGTCAGAGTCCACAGTGAAGTGTCGTCCTTGCAAAATAAAGAGCATACGACCACCAATGTCTTTCACTTCACGTTCATGTCGGAGACAGAAGTGCCGCTTGTTTTCCCCAGAACATACGGAGGTAGGCAGCTATGATTGCTTGTCCCTAACAAAGGGAAGGACTTTCAAAGGTGTTTTCCGTTTCTAAGATTGTTGCAGGAAGCACACTGAGCCTGTTAGCTCGAAAGCATCCCTGTAGGGGATTGCTTTTCGAGGCTCTGCAGCCCCGAAGGCCAGGGTGCCTTGTGGCCCCCAGGCAGCTGCAGCTGCTCCAGCTGCCTGGCTGGTGTGTGAAGGGCTGGCGCCAGCTGCAAGGAGCCGCTGGCGGCCAAAGACTGGTCCAGCCAAAGGAAAACAGCAGGAGCCGAGGCCGCTCCCTCGGGAACCTCGCGCGCCCCTGGCCCCGCAGTGCTTTTTGGGCATGCCAGTCTTGGTTCTCATCGCTGTTCCAGTGTTCCCGAGTAGGCCTGTATTTGCAGCATGCTTTTCTGAGGCGCTGCGAGTTCCTCTTTGGTTCTCTCTCTTTTGTTTCAGAGTCCATGCTGTATTTAGATGGGCAGCGGCATTTTAACTCCATGAGTATTCCGACGACCTTGAGCAAGGACTACCTTGTGGAGCCCTAGGGAAACCCACGCTTGGCGAAGAGCAGCCTTTCTCGGTGCCGCAGTGCCTGATGAAGGCCTCATCACGTATATTGGTTTCAGTGTTTTTATGCCCATTCTCCGTAGAGAAGAAGAACGCATTCAGATTCTAGGGTGATTAGAAAAGCAGAACGAGAGACTGGCTGGCTGGGGCAGAGGGAGAAAGTTATTCCATAATAAACAGTTTAAATTGTGAACCTGCCACGTTGCTTCCTATCTACTGAAGAAATGAGAACAGATGCCTTTTTATACCATTGAGGACATTTTTTTCTTAAACATAGCACAGACTCTGAGTATATACATGGCTTCTTGCCAAGGCATTTGCAGGACATTTTTTAAGCCTGACCTTCGCTGCAGTTCCCCTGCGTCATCTAAATCCCATCATCCCTACGTGATTCCTTTGTGTTTTGCCTCCCTCCACTTCCCAGCTCTTCTCGTTAGCAGAGGGTAGATGAAATGTTGGGGTGAAGGGATTTGATGAAGGATGTGGCATTCCGGAAGGTTTGTGGGCAGCTCCAGCTCTAAAGTCCTAAGTAGAGGTGTTCAGAGATGAGCCAAATGAGGAAGCCCAGGGCTGCGTGTTCATCCTTCCGCCAGACGGCTCCTAGCACCTGTGCTGGGGGCTGGGCGGATAGATCATCAAAAAACAAAAACAGTAGTAGTAACAGCAGCTTACGCTTATGGAGCGCTTGCCTTGTGCTATGTACGCACTATCCTAAGCACTTGACATGTATTAGCTCCTTTCTTTCTTCCATCGACACTATGAGGTAGGTTGTGGCCGGCTCCCAGGGTCGGATCGCTCAGGACACCGAAGCACAGAGGGGTTAAGCCACTTGCCGAGGTCCCACCACTAGCAAGAGGCAGTGCTGGGATTCAGAGCAAGGGTGTGTGGGGCGAGGACACTCCTGACCGGTAGGGTGTACTACTTTCTAGGAATGTAGCAAGGGAGGCCATACCCAGTATCACATTGTCACCTGGGGAGGCTCTACCCAGTATCACAGTGTCACCCAAAGGGAGGTGTTCCCGTGAGTCTGCAGCCAAGACAGTCTCTCCCTTGATGGGACAGGGAGTTGATCAAGGTCAGGAGAGACAAAGACCAGGCTGCAGAGAAGAAAATCATCTCTGAAAGGTGCTCCTGGGAAGGATGCAGTCTTTAGTGTGGGCTCTGGATTGGTGGCCACACACTGGGCTTTGCCTCAGAATTAGCTGGCACGCTTTGAAAGAAAATCAGATGAGGCTAGTATTAATGGAAGTCACGGTTACTCTGAACAAGCGTTTCTGGCAGGGTCAGTCACGGGAACAAACAACTGCTGTGGAGGTGTGTGGGTTGGCTCCTGGAAGCCAGGCTGCGGGGCACGCTGCGAGCGGGCTAGCTTCGGTCTTGTCTCCCCCCTCAGTACTTGCTACCATCCTGAGCCTCACCTGGCCCTTCAGCTCAGCAGTTTGCATACCTGCCTACAAGCTGGTGGGGTCCCTGTGGTATCTGATGAGGGAAGAAGGGACAGGTTCTGGGGAGATGTGTGTGTCAAGTGGAGTTCAGTGAAGGGACCTACTGCATCCTATTGTGTAGATTGTATCTTATCCACTCATCCATTTATTGATGTGCACTGCAGCTTTTTCCAGAACTTCCTTGCTCTTTTAAGCAGTGTTGCAGTAAATATCCTAAGTGGCTAAAACATTTAGCCGTTAAATTATTTCCTTAGGAAAACGAGAGAAGTGATGTCTAGGTCAGAATAGTATATACGTGTTGGAGGCTTTGATTATGTATTTCGCATAACCCTCCAGAACAGTAGCACACATTCACTCACTCATCAGTGATTTTTCTGAACTTCACTAAATTGTATCCTATTCTTTTAAAAACCTATTTGCTATTTCCGTAGGTGAAAATGACATTCATTAATTGCCTTTCTTTGAATTCTACTGAGATTGAACTTTTAAAAACTACTCTTTGTCTTTTTAATTATTTGAGTAAGTTTGGATATCAGAGTCTTAACCCAAAATCTGTTATTTGTCAATAAAATGTTTTTAAATAATAAGAACTATAGGCTTTAATTTTCAGTATAGGACTTTTAGAGGACAAGAGGAAGCAAACTACAGAAGGTACCTGATAGGTCCTAGCTATTTAGTGTATTGTCCCTCTTTAAAGACCAGCAGACTTTTAACCTGTACCAGCTCTGCCGTGTGTCTAGTGTGGAACTTCCTAATGTGGGTTGGATGTGCTTTAGTCCATGCTCATACACCCCAGTCTTACTTCAGGCATTTATTACCAAGTTCTTAGTTTTTGTGTAGGTATTTCGCCAATGAGCAGTCTTCGAGGATGGAGTCTCTATCACTGGTTTCTTTAGAAAAGAGTTCGCGTTAGCGTGCTTTGCATTGTGTCGTGTGTGCCCATTTGACTCTGTGGATCCTTTCTCATGGTGGCGCGAATATCCTGTCTGTATGTTCCCTTTGCTTGTCTGCATTGTCCACGTCACGATCTACCTTCTCCCAGTACAAATTAAGGTGACTGCATGAGTTGTACTTTGTTTTGAATTGCTCTGAATTTTTTAGTACTTAAATTTTGTTTTAAAACACAAAACAAAAGTGCTTGCAAGTTAGTTGTGGCTTTTTTTAGTTTAGCCTGAAGAGGGGCTCAGTACTTCGCAGGTGTCTCAGGGATTTCAGTGCGCCGGGCGCCATCTCGTGGCCTTTGGGTTACTGTGCAGTGTAGTCCCTTTAATAGAAAACTTGCAAAATACCATTTATTTCTTTTTAAAACTTTACTTTTATTGTTTCCACTACTACAGATGTCCCCATTTTCCCCCCTTTGCCCACCCCCACCCAGCTCTCACCACCCCTTCCCTCAGGCCTTCACCACACTGTTGCTTGTGTCTGTGGGTTATGCACCTGTGTTCTTTGCTAATCCCTTCCCCTTCCATCCAGTCCCCCTCTCCCCCCCCCTCTGACAGCTGTCAGTCCGTTCCATGTGGCCATGCCTCTGTTTCTATTTTGTCAGTCTATGTTGTTCATTAGATTGCACACATAAGTGAGGTCATATGGTATTTGTCTTTCACTGACTGGCTTATTTCACATAGCATAATAATCTCCAGGTCCATTTTACCTGTCACAAAATGTAAGAGTTCCTTTCTGATGTCCTGACTGAGCTTTACAAAGGAACAGAATTTGAAGTTGATGAAATCACACCTGCGGATTCAACTCTTACTTTCTTTCCATCTCACCTTGGGTCACACCCTGAACCTCTAATCCTAGCCAGTCCTCTAATCCTGAACCTCTAATCCTAGCCAGTCCTCTAATCCTGAACCTCTAATCCTAGCCAGTCCTCTAATCCTGAACCTCTAATCCTAGCCAGTCAACTCTAAAGTATGTGCCATCTTCCAGCACATTATCATGAGAGAGGAAAACCAGTTAGTGCTCTGGGTCTTAGATTGGGTCTCAAGTACAGTTTTTAAGAAATTTATTTATTGATTTTGAGAGATAGGAAGAGAGAAAGAGAGAGAACACATTGATTTGTTATTCCACTTATTTATGCATTCATTGGTTGAGTCTTGTATGTGCCCTGACCAGAGACTGAACCTGCAACCTTGGCATATGGGGATGATGAGCTACCCAGCCAGGGCCCAAGTACAGTTGTCTTATATAAGGACAGTACACTCATAGGTGATAGGGCCTTCAGTGGAGGAATAGGAAATGGGTTTACACTCCCCTCCTCTGTAACACCTTCCCTTATCCCAATCTTCCCTTGCACAGTGGTGCCTTAGGACTCGTGAAACCTCATACTTGTAGCATTTTGATGAGAGAAAATGTTTCAGTACTCAGCACTTGCTAGAACCTGCAAGAATCACACCATGCTGCAAGAGAAAATGCTTCATCAATCGTTGCTTGCTCGCCACTCATTGGAATGAATTAGCGACGAGTACCGAGGTACCACGGTAGTTGCTCATGCTCGCCTTGGAGCCACCGCAGGCCACAGTGTTGTTGGCATTTATTGCACTGTATTGCGCTTTCTATGTGCTTTTGTTGGGGAGACCATGGGCTTCTTGAGGGAAGAGGTTGTGTCATGCTTTTTATCCACACTGCCTTGTGAAGTACTTCGCGCAGATGTAGGTAATAAATATTTTCTGCATGAACAAATGCAGGATTTAGGTGAACTTGGGTGTTTGACTTGGATTTTGAAATTTAAAAAAAAGATTTTATTTATTTTTAGAGGGGAAGGGAGAGAGGGAAACATCAATGTGTGGTTGCCTCTTGTGCGCCCCCTACTGGGGACCTGGCCTGCAACCTAGGCATGTGCCCGACTGGGAGTCGAACTGGTGATGCTTTGGTTTGCAGGTTGGCGCTCAGTTCACTGAATCACACCAGCCAGGAATGCTTTTGAATTTTACATTTAAAAAATTGTAAAGTTAAGCCTCAGGAAGGTGGACCTTTACAACTATATTGTTAGGATTTTACGTAAGTGTACAACATGCCAAATTGTTACTATGTTAGTAGTGGAATTGGTAAAGTTGCTTTGCTATCTAAGACTAAATACTACACTAAACATTTTTGTTTTAAAAGGTAGGTAAATATTTTAATGAGTTTATAGATGCGTACGTGTGTATATGTGTATGTACACACACACAGGCATATACAGTAGGGTCTGGCACAAATAGCGTCTCCTTTTGTTACAAAATCTTTTATTATAAAATCATAAGCATGTCATTCTGTAACATAACAATATCACGCTCAAGCATACCGTATGACACTTTAGGTGAAATGTTCAAATTAAAACTACAAATTATAACACCCGTATTACTACCCTACCAACCACACTCAAGCAGGTGTTACTTCTGCTGGACCCTGTATATCTCTCCTGATGTAGAGACCTTTATGGAGCTGTTGACCTGAGATTCACATGTTATCCCATTCATATATTAATTAATCTATTCAAAGATACTTCATTGAGATGGCATTGAAAGTTCATGGGTAATGAAATACAAGGATGCATTTCATGATACCAGATTGGGGGTGGAATTAGATTACAAAATATCATTAAATAGTAAAATAGTGGTTAACATATTTGAGAACAAAATATACCACCTGGAAGTCTACTGACAGATGGAGACTTTAGGGTGTAGGATTAGATGTGCCCATGGGCAGAGAAGAAATGATGGGAGTGGGGACTGATTTTTTGCATGAGACTTGGGGGGTTGGTGCTAAGAAATCCCTGGAAGAACCCGCTGCAGTCACTGTGGAGCTCAGTATGCTGGCAAAGCTTAACTAGGAAATAGTCAACAGAAGATCAGAACTTGGAGGGAGAAGTATGGAATTACAGGTGAGAGAGAGATGTATATGTATATGTATATGTATGTATTTGTGCACTGAAAAGACATGGTCTAGTATATTTCATAGAAACTTCAGGTTCCCTCTTGACCTATTATTTTGGATAAGCTCCAAATGCCACGGCGTGGTCCGCCCTCCTGCTGCAGGGACAGCTACTAAACTGTACTGGTCTCTGCCTTTCCATGGCTGGCTGGCAGCTGTCTCTAGAGAGGGGTGTCTCAGCCTTGCCACTATGGACACCTTGGGCCAGGGGTCTTTGCTGTGGGGCTGTCCTGTGCGGTGTAGGATGTTAAGCAGCACCCCGGCCCTACCCACCAGATGCTCCCCCACAGATGTGACAGCCAAAAATATCTCCGAGACATTACTGTCCCTTGGGGGCAAACTGTCCCCAGGTGAGCAGCACTGCTCTGGGTCAGCACGTTCTGGGAATTGGGCTCCTGTAGCTGTGACCCTGTCAGGCCTGGTGCCCATCCTTAGTGGGGGCACTGTCCTTGCTGGACACCCTTCCCAGTCTCCTGTGAACAGCCATAGGATCGTATTTAGGATATAATTTTCGACCTGTGGGCTTTCAGAAGTCATCTGTTTGAAGGGATAGGTGAGAAAAAAAGCAGAGGAGTGCATGTAATGCTATTTTATTCATGTCTATATTACCCAATTGATATGAAAGCGGTCAGTCAGGATGTATTTTCCTTTATTTGTAGATGCCCAGAAATTATGACACTATCAACACCTGCTTCAGTAATGAAATACTAAGCTCCCTAAGGGCAGAAAGTTGTCTTTGGCTACTGATACATATCAAGCATTTAGTGTAGGCGATCAATAGCTGCTGTGTGTTGAAGGCAACAGTAACGACTGGCTTTTTGGAATACAGGGTCCGGCACAAATAAAGCCCCTTTTTTATTACAAGATCTTTTATTAGAAAATCATAAGCATGTAATTCTGTAACATAACAATATCATACTCAGGCATATCACGTGACATTTTAGATGAAATACTCAAATGAAAACTATAGAATATTACACCCATATTATTACCCTACCAACCACACTCAAGCAGGCCTTACCTCTGCTGGACCCTGTAGATATAAAAATAGCTGTCCTTGTAAACATACCTCAAATGAACACAGTAAAAAAGCTCGAGAGAATGGAAACTATTAACCAAGAAGATACAGGCTATTCCATGAGTAAAAAATTTGTACTTTCAGGTTGGAAAGAAGAAATCTGAGGATACCAATTGTATTGACAAGATTATTACAAACCTGTTTGAACACCCAAGGACCAGCAGTTTTCAACTCGACTAATAGGCTGGCTTCTAAAATTGCACCTGTGAGCTAGCATGTAGAACATACTCACATGGCACACCTCACCTGCAAATGATCACAGTACAGTCACTGCCATGTTGGAGTGGCAAAGGGGTGTTGTAGTAGTATCGGAGTTCAGCTTTATAGGTGGTGATTTGTGAAGAGCTAGCTACGTTTAGGGATCCAGCATTTGTTAAACTGAATTTAAACATGTAAGTTGTTACCAATTTGGTGTAAGTTGAAGCATGAATTTACAGAAAGGGGGTGGTGGTGTCTAAATGGCTTTATGTTGTACAGGGCAGTGAGCTCTGGCTTCAGCTGTCCCTCCACAGGTACCATGGAAGACGACTGCTCACAACCTAGCCTCTCCGGCCACCCTCGGGGGTACAGAGGGGTGGTCCACAGTGGAACGGTCAGAGCCCAGAAAGTAGAATGAGTCTGCCTGGGGTTCCAAGTCTGATTCTACCTTTGCTAACTAGTTGTCGACTGGACAAGCGCTTTATCTGAGCTTCAGTTTCCTTGTCTGTAAAATAAAGAACTCAAAAGAGTTGCTGTGAGGATTAAATGAAATAACGCATGTAATCTGCCTAACATGACGCCTGGCACATTATCAGTTCTACATAAGTGTTTAGTTATTGTTGTTCCTAGTTTGATTCCAGGGGACATTTCTTAGTTTGGAGAGAGAATAAGTGCCTGTCTTTTGGCCTCAGTGTCTGACTTCAACACTAAATTATCTTTGAAGCCTGACTTGGATTTTTATATTCTCCAAGAAATAACTAGTGTAACTCAACGTGGTAGTAACGGTGTCCTTTATTGACAGCGTTCAAGCATCAGAACCTGAGGAAGTATTTTTCAGTTCAGTTTGTCGAAATACTTCAGTTTTCCTGCTGGATCTGGGATTATCTATGAGAAGAAAAGAGCAGATTATTCATTTTAGAAGCCAAAGCACATCATTAGCAGTGTGGTAGTAGTTGCCTGTCTTGACTGAGGAATGTGACTGTTCTTGTGCACCAAAATCTATCAGGTGCATATAGCAAGAACTGGATTTGTCCTACCTCCTAATCTCTGCTACCCCAAGAGGAACGTAACTCGTTCTGAATTAACATCTGTACTCAAGCACCCCAAATTTACTTACAGCTCTTCTCGCGGCCACCAGGCTTTCATGGCATCTTCAGGTTTGATCTAATTAAACCAAACACATTGAGAGAGCATGGCTACAGATGTTAATGAATTTGTGAAATCGTCTGCTGGTGAAGTGTTGCTATGCCACAGGCCCCTGGGAAGGGGCCAGTGTGTTCAAAAGGAGTTTCTGGAGGCCCAGAAAGCAACCTTTTGACCTCAAACTGCAAAGTTAAAATAAAAACTACTCCACTATAACACGGAGTATTACCTTCAACAACTATTTAGTGAATGAACAAATACTCCGAACAGAAACAAAATGCTCCCTACTAGAGCACAGCCTTAGAAACCTACTGGACTTTTTAATTTTTTTTTGAAATTTCCATATAAGTTGACCTCACATTAACTATGTTACTTGATAGTTATAGGTAAAGTACATTTATCCTTACATATAAAAAACCCTCTTGCAAGCAGCTTATAATAGTTTCATGTGTTTTCTTCAGAATTTTTCTTCAGCATAAAATAATCATTATCTAGTTTTTCAGGCATCACTTCTGGAAGCATTGACTTTGCCAGTTTGTTACCTGTCTGCATTTAAATTCAATCTTCAGGTGCTTATGGAATAATGATGTGCCAATAGAGGGCTGGGCAGGGGGGATGCAGGATTACTAGCATGGCCCCCGCCTTTGAGGCTTGTACGAGCACGTGGGAAAGATGTCCGTGTATGTGACTGTTTTGATGCAGTGCGCAATATCATGTTTGACGCAGGTCATGTGACTCTGTGGCGGCTGAGATGGCATTAGGGGTCTGAGTAGAGGTGGCTTTTAAAGAGCAGTAGAATTTAGAGAAGGGCACAGGTGTTCCAGGCTCTAGACAGACAGACCTGTGGGAAGGCACAAAGGTGTGAAAAAGCAGGGCTTGTCTGGAGGAATGAGTTGTGATTCAGTGGGAGCAGTGTTTGCACATGAATCATAGGGAAGGTGACCTGGGAGAGAGCAGTGGAAACAAACAATGCAAAGGCTTGAAGGTTGGGCCCTGGGTATCGGGACTCTGTCCTGAGTGCTGGGGAGCCGCTCAAGGTTCTGTCGGGAGAGTGACATGCACTGGCGGGGAGAAAGCAGGTCTGGGAGACAAACCAGGAGGCCTGTGCCAATACACCATGGGGCGGGGGGGGGGGCCAACACGGGACTGAGGGATATGGACACGAAAACTCCACGTCTCTTCACAGAAACACCACCAGTAACCTTTTTGATCCTGCAGGCCCCTCTCCCGCTACTTTCTTTTCTTCTCCCCTTCACAGCTCTGTTTCTTGACCTAGTTCACCCTTCCTCTCCCGTTCCTCACCCTGTTCTCTCAGCACATGCCTGCGGTCGGCGACGTTCTGTGTCAGGCACTGTTGGCTCTGCTACAGCTCCAGGCGGAGTGACCTTACCCAGAAACGCCTTTTAAGGCTTCTCAGGTGATGCCTGCAGCTTCTGATCCGTATTTCTATCTGTGAGCCTCATGGTCAATAATTGTAAATTAACCTAATGACTAATTTATAATTTAAAGTACCCAGTGCTCCCAGTGCCTTTAATGTTTAACTTCAAATCCATCTGATATCCATCAGATCTATGTAGAGGTGAATAAGGTTGTACTGTAACATTAACTTTGACCCACAAGGGCAAAGCTCGTTTGCACCTCCATCAAAAACTAGTTTAAAATCAGTGAAATGTTACTTTACCTAATCTGAGTGAGGTTATAGAGTGAATTTCTACGTTTCATTGTTTATAGCTAATGGTACTGTGTTTTTTTGGGGGGGTGTTGCTAAGGAAGAAAGTCTTAGGAGTCTATATTTTTCTTTTCTAATGATATCTTCCTCTGAGGCTCTAGTATTTTTCCTAACTACAGTTTGTATAAAACTCTTTGATTTTTAGAAGATAACATGTTCATTAGAAAGGGTTCAAGCAAGTTTATAATTTGTACTTTGGCCAGTGGCTGCTTCTGGGATTGTCTGTAAATTATACAGCCTCCCTATGAAACAATGTACTTGTTTCAATATTTTTTGCCTTCAAATGATGAATCATTAACTTCAATGATCGTTAAGCCAGATTTTCTCAAAAGCTTTTATATGTGTGTATATATGTACACATATATACATATATACACACATGCATGTGTGTACACACGTTTTGCTTGTTTTCTTTGCCTTTAATGGTATGTTTTGCTAGATATTTGGCTTTAAAATTCACAACATGAAGGCCCATCTTCTGCTTTTTTCACTTTTAGCTACTCTCCCTACAGTTCAAAGAATGCCTATACCCTTCTGACTGTTGCTGAGCAATGTTTACTTCATTTACAAAATCCAGACAGTGCTGTTACAGATTATCTTAAGGTTGGCATTTTTGTTTGGCCCCAGACATCCCCCTTAACATAAAAATCAATCTGACTTACTGTTTCACTACCAGGTTTCCATCCAGCAGGGCAGACTGAAAGGAACAAAAATTGGCAAAAGACAGTTTAAAAACAGAGTTCTGTTCTCTTCAGCAACTCTTGGCTTTTCTTTTTCCGAATGAAATTGAAAATGGAGCCTGTGTTAATGAGACCATTTCTAGGCCAATGAAGACTCGCCTCCTGTTAGCTTGCCTGCTTGCACCCAGGCATTTCAGTCACGGAGCTTATCAGTAGGCAGCTAATGTAGTCTCATTTGGCCAGTCATGTTTAGTAACGTTTTACAATTGAAGAAACCAAACTGAGTCTCCCTTTAAGAAAGTTGGAACGTTGGGGAATCTGATGAACTGAAAGTTCTGGGCATGGCAAAAATCTCTTAATTTACATAACCATACAGTAAGCTTATTTGCTGTCTCCTGCACTACTTTGTACCGATACCATGGCCTGTTATTTGTCCGAAGAGACTTCATTCAGAGAGCAGGCTTCCCCTTTTACAATGTGCCTGGACCCAGGTACCGAGTCACACATTTGAAAGGAATTTAAACCATATATTCTATTTGAGGACAATTTGACCTTTCCTATTTGGCTACTGTGAAAGCTCAGAGTGAAAGGGTGAATTAATAGCTTACTAGTGTGATACTGAATAACCCTGATGATTACTGAATTATCTTGAGGAAAAAAATCTAAATCAAATAATGTAAACATGCAAATAAAACCTACATTGCTAGATATTGCCAAATTGGTGCATTTTAATTTTATAGAAATATAATTTGGGGAAAAAAGAAATATAATTTGAAAAATTGTAGCAGCAGAAACTTTTCTCTTTGAGCTTATCCAAAAGGACTATGCAAATGAGTATTTTTGCATCTTTTAATTCAGCTAGTAGTATAAATTAGTGATATTTTGTTAAAAGCACTTTAATAATTTGATTTACTAAAAGATCAGCTAATAATTTCAAAACAATCGATCGGATGACTTTGGACCCTTCCAAATTACTTATAGGATAAGAAACCAAACTGTGCTGCTACCTCTTCTCAAACTAAAAAAAATCAAAAGGCTACGATGTTTAGAAAGAAAGAGTACCTTCTCCATGCTTATCGGTGTACTGGAATGCTTGAACCAAACGCAGTGTCTCGTCCACGGATCTACCCACAGGAAGATCATTCAGAGTAATCTGTCTTAGGATCCCTTTGTCATCAATAATGAAGAGACCTCTATAAAACACAAGAGTGGTGGAGGTGAGGACATTTCATCTCAGTTAAGACAAGTATTTGTTCATGTAAATCCCTGTACCAATCACACAGGCTTGTTATACAGACCCAACAACACACTACATACTTGACTGGTACATGTGCGCATGCATACACACACTCTCTCTCTCTCTCTCTCTCTCTCTCTCTCACTCATATCCACACTTATCTACTATATAGCTTGAGGTTATTGTTAAATGGTAGCTTTAAAAAAAATTTGGACTTATTGGAGTGACGTTCGTTAATAAAATATATGTTTCAAGTGTACAATTCTCTAATACATCATCTGAATACTGTATTGTGTGTTCACCACCCCAAGTCAAGTCTCCTTCCATCACCATTTATCCCCCTTTACTCTCTTCTACATCCCCCTACCCCTCAGTAGCTTTAAAATTTTGTTTTTGTCTGTGAAATGTCCTATAGTACTTATAGTCGAAGCTTCATGTGTACTAGGGTTTTGGATTTTAATGCACTGTAAATGAAATGATGAGAGTACATAGCACAGTCTTCCTTTGAGTGAAGGAGGGATCCATCTTTCTCATTACTGACTATTTAGAATGCTTTTTAATTTCCTTTTTCAATGGCAGAAAAAGGTCACTAATATAAGCGAAGTTACCTTTCTCCCTAAATATATGTGTGATTCACTCCTATGGCCTGGGAATAATGAAGTAGTTTGAACCAAAAGACCTGTTATTGAGATATGGGTGGCACTGCAAGAGTTAAAGTAGACTAGAGAGAAAATTTTTCAGAGGACTTTATTTTAGTCAATACGGATTTCAACCCAGTACTTACTTTGGACTCAAAAAAAAATCTCAGGTACTGGACCTAATTGTCCTAATTGCTAATTACAAATAATGATGAGACTTTTTAAATAGAAATACATGGAATTTCATATCTATTCCATGAAATCTTGTTTCGTAATCCTATTAAACATTACTCTTCCACCCAGAGAGGAGACAGGTCCTTCTTATGAAAAATCAGAAATTAAAATGGCAACAGACATCTCAATAACAACCCCAGAAGCTAAAGGTAGCGGGGGCAGTGCTTTTAAATGTTTTCGGGAAAATGCCTTTCAATCTATAATTCTACACTCAGCCCTATTATTAGTCCACATTAGAGTAGAATAAAAACATTTTCTGACATGTAAGCTCTCAAACCATTTTATCTTCCAGTGACCTTTTACTCGGAAGCTATGAAGATGCGCACTGCTAAAAAAAGGGATTAAATGCACGGAGGCAGGCGTGGGAGCCAGAAAACTGGGGAAAGGGCGAGTGACTGCTAATGGGGATGAGGTTTGTGCTTGAAGTGATGAAAAGGTTCTAAATTTGATTGTGGTGATGGTTGCCAAACCCTCTGAATATACTAAAAACCATTGGATTGTATGCTTTATGTTGGGTGAGTCATATGATATATCTTAATAAAGCTATTATTAAAAACAGGATTATAAAATACTGACACTTTCACATAAAACTTTAAAAAAGAAAGTGCTAACATTGAAAAACAAATAACATAACTAGAACAAAACTACAGTTGTTTAAAGCTAAAATTGCTTTTTTCCCCCCAAAGGCTTCTATTAGCATTTATTAGCTCAAGTAACCCAGTGAGAGCTGTTGGGTAAAATATTTCCTTAATTTTTTCTACTTCAAAGACACAGGTTTGCTAAATACTACTATCTTTGTATTTAGGAAAACCATTATTGGAGTGAGATTGGAGAAGGAAAGAAAGAAATGGATAAGGAGTTTGGGGATCGGGGTTCCAGTCTGCACTCTGCCATTAGCTAAGTATATATCCTCGGCTAAGTTCGTAGAAGTCTACGAGTCTATTTATCTGTGAAATGACAGGGCTGCTCAAAGACCTCTACATAACCTTCCAGCTCGAGCAGCCCATGGTAGTCACACAGTTTACATAGGGCACTCACTAATTATTTTAAAGAGTATCTATGACCTTTTTGCAAATAGAGCAAATATTATTTCTTGATCAAACCTTGTATCTTCCAACTCCATTTCAAGGAGGGTTACAAGTATATTTCGATTGGTCATAATATAAAACCACTGAAAGTTACCTAAGAGTGTGGCCTGAGTCTTCCAGATATACACCGTAGTCTTTTGAGATCTGATGGGTCAAATCTGAAAGAAGTGGAATCTTGATTGAACCAAGTCCTCCCTGTCTTCGAGGGGTGTTAATCCTGTAATAGAACATATACCTCTCAGAGCTGAGTACAAGGGATGTATCAAAACGGCACTCTCTCTGCATGTGCACACACATGAACAAACACAACATATCCAGTCTTTTTCTAAAAAAAAAAAAAGCTAATATACATTCTATTTTCTTGCCTCACCCCCCCACTTAATAATGTATTCATATCCTTTAAACACTAAATATGGAGACACACATCACATTTTTAATGTACAGATTAAAAACCTCACATCAACACGCACATTTCGAATTCTGAAACACATTGCCTAATTACTCTCCAGCAGTGATGGCGCAGCTGCGTGTATGTGAGGGCCATTTCTCCCTCTCTTTGTCATCGCCGCCTCAAAGTGTTCAATATTTGAAATTTTGGCCAGTCAGTCAGGGAAAAATAGCACCTCTTGTCATTTTAACTTGCAGTTCTTTGCAATTAATTAGGTGAAATAATTAATTAAAAGTTATTTCTAAAATTAAAAATCATTGGTTCTTTAAATGTAATTATAAAAGCTGTTTTGAGTTTGGCTTAATACTAGTCTACTGCATAACAGAGAAATGGTAGTTTAAAGATTTTTTTCTCCAGATTAAGGTTACCCCAAATTTGTCATAATAAAGTAATCATACAATTCAGTAGTTTTGGCCATGGATATCATATCTTTTGCATTGAACTCCGCCTCTTCCCCCCCACCAATTTTGTAATGTCCTATAAAATCCTTAAGCATTTTTATGTAACTTCATTGAACCAGCAGTTCTCAGACAGATCTACTCCTGAATTGTCTGATAACCATAATCCTATCATGTTAAGAGTTGTCTGCCCATAATTTAAAGTAAATCCATTTTTTTTCCCCCTACAAATGAGTGAGATACTGACCAGGCCAAGTGGGTAAACTGTGAATCGACAGAGCATGCCACCACTTCAGTGTTTATAGATCTGAATTCTTCAATTCTATCACCAAAGGCGATAATTTCAGTTGGACACACAAAAGTGCTGAAAGTAAAAAAAAGTGTACTTAGTATTCTCAAAATACGCACATATGTGAATTTTAAAATGACTTAGTCTTTACAAACACGTTTAGTACATAAAGATGTACATTAAGAACAATTTTATATATGAACCTTCTCAAGGTTGAGTATTCTAAAATGCTTTATAGCGTTCAAAGGATCTATACACATCTTCTATCACTTCATTTGCTTTTACATTCCTCTCCCAGCCTTATGAGCTGGATGCATCCAGCTCTGTTTTGGAGATGAGGAAATGCCCTCGGCTCCAAAGGAGCTGTCTTAGCCCCTCACCGTAGAAGATCATTGCTAATTACGTATGTCTTGTTCATTATGGAGTTTTAAACAACACTGGAGAACCAAAGCATATTTGTCTGCTATGTTAGACTAATTCCAAAATTCAGGTTTAGTGTCATATATATTCCACATGTTTTAACTTTTTGGTTTTATAACATGGACTTAGAAGGCCTGTAATTTTTATATGTTAAAATTTCAATTTCTGGTTTCTACTGGAAATTAAAGTATATCATACATTTTAGCTATTCAAACTACTTTAAAAGATTATTATGTAGATTCATGACTTGTTTCAGTCTCAATGTACTAATTTTTATGAGAATTCTTTGATTTGGATAAGACTTAAGGGTCAGCAAACTGCAAGCCACCGGCGAAATCTAGCGTGTCTTATTTTGTGTAAATAAACTTTCAATGGGCTACAACACTCATTCGTTTATGTATTGTGTAAGGGAGTTTTTGTGCTATGATGGGGAAGTTGAGCAGTTGGAAAAAAGATCACTATAAGACTAAGACTAAAATATTTACTACCTAGCCCTGTACAGAAAAAGTTTGCTGACTGCTTGCCTACAGACAACCTATAGAGATGAGTTAAGTCTTCTCCCTGCAAGTTTAAATTTTATTTTCATAGTTCAACATTAGTCCTAACAGAAAAAGGACTTTAATATACAGTTACAAAGATAGAAGAAACTCCTACTTATTTTTGTAACCAAAAAACATATTCAAATAGAAAAAAGATAAAAGTTGGGATAATTCTTTTTGGAACCATTTTGCTGTCATGGAATTTGAAAAGCACTCAAAATAAAATTAAATTCTTGATGTGACTAAAGCTATGAGTCTTTACTTTGAGTCAACTTTCTATCTTCAAAAGTGCTCATTGTCATAGAGTTAAAGAGGAAAAAATTCCCACAATAACCATAATTTATATTAGTAGGCATTATTTGTTAAGCATATGATCTCACCTATAAGCGGAACCTAACCAACAATGCAAAGATGCAAGGAAAATAAGACCAGCAACACTGAAAGGAAAAGAAATCAACAGAGACAAGAGGGAAAGAGGGAGGGGAGGCGGGGGAAAAGGAAGGGGAAAGTCAAGCATATGCAATCTTTTCAGGCAAATGTTCAAATCACAGGAAAGCAACGGATGCAGCAAAGAATAAAAATAGTAAAACCATAGTTAAATGGCATCACCAGAGAAAAGGGCTTATTAATTTTCTATTTAACAGGAATACATTAAATAGCTTTGTGGCAGAAGTCTTGCTCTTAAATGCTTTTTAATAAAACGTCAGTCCATTTTCTTGCCTTAGTAAGTGTAGCTCTATCAATATAATTGTGTTTTTCCTCTAATCATTATGTTACAACACAATCATGTAGATATAAGTGTAGAGAACTAGGCCTAGTGGGTTATGATTCTGAAATACATGGTAGGTGTTACCTTGGAAAAATTCTCCATCTCAAATGCTTTTTGAGAACCAAGAGCTAGATAAAATATTCCTAACTATTTGCTGTCCTTTTTTATTGTTACTCTATTACAGCTGTCCCAGTTTTCCCCCTTTGCCTCCCTCTGCCCAGCCCACCCCCCTGCTCCCATGGCCAATCCCCACTCCGTTGTCCATGGCCATGGGCCACTCGTCCATGCTCTTCGACTAGTCCCTTCCCCTTCTTTCCGCCATTGTCCCCCTCTCCTCCCCTCCGGCCACTGGTGTTCTTGATTAATGATCAGTAATAACTGAGGTTTTTACTAGCTGCTATGTATGTTATTACTTACAAATCAAGTGGGTAGAAGAAAAAAACCAGGTATTTTCCACGATAATCAGTTAACTTGAGCTCCTTAAATTCTCCATTTATCACAGCTGTTCCTTCCCAATAAGGTGCTGGCTTGGAAACTAAGGAAGAAGAATACAGGATGTTTTGTAACACTGAGAAAGCTGGTGGGATGACAGGAGCCTCAGGAAATCACTGAAAATCAAGGCTTTGAAAACTTTGCATCTCTTCAGCAGTCTGTTGAAGCTTACAGAATTCCCAGAATAGTGCTATTGAATGTATAAAATAGAATATGAGGAATTACAAAGGAAAGTGATTGTATTGAAATGCAATTATCAAATACAAAAAAAACCCATACTGGTGATTTAGTAATACATGTACCCTTTTATGAACACTTTAAAGATGTAGGATCTAGCAGTGATCTAATAGCTACCCAAAATAGTGAAGAGTGTAAATGATGTTTCAGGATACCCACACCAACCTACAACTGCAAGGTAGCATGAAAATATGTGTGGGTCTACTGGCAAAAGGCACATGCAAGTACTGCTGAAGCTAATGTGCTTTGCTGCTGACGTTTATATGGAAAGAAATGCTCAATTTCAGTTGGAGGTTAGTGACAATACTTTTTTTCTATTCATGCTCACAGTCCCCACCCCCACATTCCATCCCCGCACTAAACCCTACTGGATACTTCACTACAGCCCCTCCAAGTTGAACAACTTCCTACATTTCAAATAATTAGATGTTCCTTTCCCTAATGGCAGTCTTTCGGATGTACTAATTTAAACCTCTGTCCAGTTTCTTACATACTCATGGAGGACCTGCTGCCACACGTAAGGACTAGGAAATCTGCAAGTACATCAGGCCAGGAGTGTAAAATCCCAGACCCTGGGATTATTTTCCTAGAGGGCTTAGAAAGAAGAGACCCCCTTGAACAGGTTTCAAGTGACCTGATGGGAATTGAATAGTTGGTGCCGCTCTCTTGTAAATGCACGCAGTCATTCTACCCAACACTAATTCAGTCCACGCTTTGATAATAATATACCTTGATCTTCTGTTACATTCAGATAGCACTTAAACTTTCAGAACCATTACGTATATTGAAGTTAATACGTGCTTCCAAGTTTGACCACGGTTCCTAGAAAGTAAGGCTTAGAACAGCCAGCATTTATTATATTTTGTATAATAGCCAGCATTTATCGTCACTCTGAAAAGAGACTCAAACTTAATATAAATTTCTCTGCGAAGTTAATACATAACTTCACAGAGGTTATTATTTACCTTGGCTCAGCAGCCTACCTCATATAAATATCCTGATCTGGTTAGGTAGAGGCCAGGAGGGAGAATTAGAAGGGTACCAAGCTATATATGCTTTATATATAGTTATATAAAGCATACTATAAACTATAAATAAAGCAAACTATATAAAGTACGGTTATAGATTATATAAATATAGTATGCTGTATATAACCTATATAACCTATATAAAATATAGAAATATGTTTATATTTTTATAAATATAAACATATTTCTATATTTTATATAGGTTATATAAATATAGTAGCACCGAAAATGCTACTCAAGGGAATAGATTAACGGGATACATTAAATAGATTTGTGGTTAGAATTAATAATGATGTATTACAATGACGGTCCTTAATGATTTTAGCATACTGGGGAAAAACCAAATCTGAGAAATATTGTCAAAATTCTGAGTTTAAAAATTTTGGGTTCTTGATTTAAGAATTACAGTGTTTCAAGAAAAAACTGTCATCCATTTATAGAGCAAAAAGAATCCAGTGATTTTGCTTAGATCTATAAATGGAATTCCCAAAGCAACCCCTTGTGTCTATTAATATCTTGAATATAAATCATATAGCAAAGATTCTGGAAAATGCAAAGTGGTATAAAGAAGAATACTTAAACCTCCTCCTAACTCCATTAACTACCATTGACATTTTGGTCTTTCCTTCCAGTCTTTTTTAAAGACAAATTTGGATCATGTTGCACCCCTTAAAAAAAAAAAGGCAACAGTAAATCATGAACACTTTTCATGTTACCAAAAATTATTTGAAAGTATGACTTAAATGGTTCTATAATATTCCATTTTATGAATAGAAATCCTGGTACCTTTAATTCTATATAAGCCTACATGTGACAGAGATGTAGCAAATACCTAAAATTTGAAAAGGTTTTCTGTAAAGAGAGCTCTATTACTAGTTTTTGCTTTTATGAGCAGAGTTGGATGGGATTTGTTTCTTATGGGAAATATATGTAATGCCAATAAACACTTAACTGGCTGACATAGTTCAAAATATCTTCTGAGGCAAATAAAACTATTGGCACTTGGAAATACTGTGAGTTTAAAGTGCAAGACTGGCTTTTGAAAAACAAAAATCCAAAAGTAGTTAACTTTCAGTAGGAAAGAACTGCAAATGTTTAAGGCAAAACAGTTTTTCTCATTTATTACTCCCACTCCATCATAAGTCACAACAACATCCCACTTAACACTGAGGATTCACAATTGTGAAGCTTTTTTCACTGCATATGGGCATAGAACATGCTGTAATTGAACCACAAAAGCCAAATACACATCTTCAGAATGCTAAGTGATCTATAGGAAAAGCAGGTCATTTAAAGGCAAGCAAGGGGCAGTCTTTATCCTTTAATCTTGGTCACTTCTTTTTGTCTAACCTTAGCCTCTAGATGCAGCAGGCCACAACTTTCTCACTATCTCAGTCTGACGTGTCCTTCCCGAACATGGCCATTAGCTGTGTACACTGGACAGAAATGCAAATAATCAAAAACCAAACTGGCAGGACACAAATTTGCCATGAGGTTTATCATCAACCAAAATACATTACTTCCAACCTCCTTTTGCTTCCTTTCCTTACAAAGAGCCTCCAAAGTACACCATGTAGTAAGTTCTTCATTTCTAAGAGACAAAGAATACCTATTATACATGTTTTGGGGAAGGGCTTTTAATAGTCTTTATAAGATGAAAAAAGAAAGGTGAAGTGTTTACTCTCCTGAACATTTGTTTAGCCACTTATCAGTTTAATCAAACTTTCTATGAATCACTATTCGACTTAAGGTATTCTTCTCTGAAATGGTACTTGGAGACGGACGCGACGCGATGTGCTGCAACCACTTTGTGATGTTTGAGGAAGCGTTTCATTTTGCACAACATCCTCCGATGCCTGCAAGTCCCAGACCAGGGCCACCCTTTCCCTTTTCTGCGGCTTCTGGGGTAACCACTAGGTCCAAAATCTGATTAGCGGAAACCACCCCTTTCTCACAGCTGGACACCTCCCCACCCAAAAGAGCCAGGTCCGCCCAGGGCCCGGAGGCAGCACAGGCGGTGCCGCCCTAGCCAGGCTCCCGGGTAAGCCACCTTTGGCAAGGCCCACGTGTCTCCCGGCCCTCCTCCCTTCCCGCCTCACTCTGCCACCGGTCAAACCCCTTTGGCGGAGCACCACCTACTCTTGGCTTTGCTGAGATGCAGGGAGTGGTCGGCGACTGAAACTCGGGACGCCTCCCCCGGGTACACTTGTCCCCCCGCATAGAAGTGGCACTCCTCTTCACGGGTTCGGGGCCTCTCTTCTGCCTCCCAGACACGCTGAGCCTGGGCTGGCAGCAGGAACAGCAGCAGCGGCAGCAGCAGCAGCCTTCGGCTCCGGCTGGGGGCTGGAGTCGTCGCGGCTGGCAGCTGCTGCGGCACCTCCATGACCACGCGAGCGCAGACAAACGTCCCTTGGCGCGAGCGCAATTTCTCCCGCCGCCAGGCAGCTACAATCGCGCGCTAGACACCCCGCGAGTTCGAGCGCGGCCTCGCGAGACCTGATCCGCCCTCCCACTCCCCGCCCCCTGCTCTCCGGGTTCCCTCGACCACCCCCACCCCTAGCCCCGCCACGTGTCCTGCTCGCTCCAGGCCGGCATTTGCGCCTGCGCCGTGGGACGGACCAAGGCTGGCGCTCAGCCCAACTCTGAGAAAGCCGCTTGCTGGTTTGGCCAGTGACTGGCCTCACAAGCTCCCGTCCTCTGCACTGTTTCCACGCCCGTCTCTTCCACAAACCCGCAACACCGCACACCATCCCCCTTAACAAAGTGAAATTAACTTAGCTGCCTTTGAACTGCTTGCATTTATACTTCTAGCAGTTTTTTTTCCTGTAAGTGATCTGCGTGAACAGTGCCATTACTATCCCCTCTGCAGCCCTGCTTTAGCCCTCTGAAACTTGGAGAAGAAAGGTCTAACCATTTATTCTCCAGCAGGCAAGGACAAACAAACATTTAGGTGACTTAAGCCTGTCCCAAGTTGTCTTTAAAAACAAACAAACAAAAATCTAGACTTGAAAAGTTTTTAGGAGACCAGACTCTCTCCCAGCACATTGTTGTTCCATCTTCTGACAATTAACCCCTCACATTGGAGGATCCGGGACCCCTTCTATCTTTTTGGGAGTTTGTCATCTTTCTGAATCCCGCAGAAGTCTATCACACTGGCCAGCTCCCTGGGATCAAAATTGAAGTTAAATTTATCTTTGTTTCCCAAGGCGCCTCACATGTGGCACTTGCTATTGTAAGCACTTGATTTTGTAAGTAACATCAATATTCCCGACATCCTGTCTCAGTTTCTGGTTATTTTCAAATTGTTTTCCTCACTCCCGCAACAGCTCTTTGAAGCCAATCAGAAACCTGCCCTTTTGAAACTTATTCCTCACCCTAGTCCTGCCCATCATATGCCCCACCCCAGGGGGTGGGGCCTGTGTTTGCGCATGCGCCCTGGCGAGGCCCACCTTGCGGAAAACCGGCATCGACTGTGACTGGTCTCACGCGCACCTGCCTGCTCTCAGCATTGTTTTAGGCCCTGCTCATCCTTCTAGGCCCTGCTCATCTTTCTAGGCCCATATCTTATACAAAGATTCGTTGGAGACTGGCCTCATCCTTGCTGTGGCTGGTCTGCCGCCATTACAGCAGACTGGCCTGCCGCCATTACAAGTGACTGGTCTGCCGCCATTACAGGTGAGCGGTCTTAAGCGCTCAGCCCTGCTTTATAGTCTTCTCATCTTTCTACTCCACCTGTCCAAAAAAGTCTCATTGCAGGACACCAGCCTGCCTCCTCTGAAAGCTGAGATTAACCTTTCTGCTTCTGCGTGGCTTATATTTTATACTTTTAACAAGTATTCTTTTCCTTGCAGTGAGCTGGGTGAACAGAGCCCTGATTCCCCTCTCCGGCCGTAGCCCTTTTAAGTTCTGGGAAAATTTGGAGAAGAAAGGTCTAACCTGAAAAGCAATATTTTAAGACTGTTTATTGTCTTCCAGCGGGAAAGTCACAGCTTGGTGACATAAGACTGTCTGCCTCAAGGTATGTCTTATTTTTAAAAATCAAGACTTGGTAAGTTCTAGAAAACCCTTTTCCCCCCATCATAGCATTGTTCTATCTTGTAACAATTACCCCATCACTCACCCATTTGCTAGGATGGCTGGTGAGGACTGGGGTGAGAGAGACACAGCACAAACCAGAAACACAGGAACCATTGGTAACCTTTATGTCCCCAGGATCCCTTCTATCTTCTTGTGAGCTCTTGTCATCTTTCTGAATCCCACAGAAGCTCTCCTACCAGTTTGACTTTTATTAGCTTGTCAACTTTCTGGGGACAAAATCGATGTAGAATTCATTTCTGTTTCCCAAGGCTCCTGGCACATGGCATTTGCTATTGTAAATACTAGATTTTGTAAATAACACCTAATATTCCCAACAGCCTGTCTCAGTTTCAGGTTGCTTTCCTGTATTATATCCTTGCTGCTATTAACAGCCCTTTGAGGCAGATAGGAAACCTGTCCTTTCCTAACTCATTCCTTACCCCATTCTTGCCCATTATAAGTTCTGCTTTCTGTTTCCTGACCCCTGTTTGTTGTGGGCATAGGAAGAAAAATATGAAGCCACCACCCTTTTGCCAAGAAGGGGAGAGCTTGTCCTTACCCATAACGTTGTCTGCCAGCTCTTCACTTTCCAGGGGCGCGTAGGTAGGAGTCCTCTGACGAGGGAGCTCTCGCTGCTCTGAATCTTGTCCTTCTCTGGCCTCCTGTTCCACATGTAAGGACAGCGGGGCACTGGTGGTGCGGGCCTGAGTCCCAGGGATTCGGCTCAGGCCTTTGCTACGATGTCGGTTTCGGTGATCCATGTTCGTTGATTGACTGTTGAAAAAACAGCCACCAAGCCTCAGTGAATTCTAGGCCCTGTGCTGGGCGTCTAAGTTTGGGAACTGGGAGAGGAACTTGGGGAGAGCTTTATTTCCTAACCTCTGCCCTGGGCTGAGCTAAGGTGCCCCAGTTGGCAGCAGGGGTTACCCACCAAGTGGGCCCCAGTGAACCGCCTGCCCCCTGGAGAGTGACCAGATAGGCCAGCTCCCAGGCACCAACTGTGTGCCCCTCAGTTCTGCCAGGGCCTTTTGGTAGCTGACATTCTAGGTGACAGGTCGCTCAGAATCCTGCTGTCCAATGATATTTCCCGAGTGCCTGCTTCCTGCAGGCAGGCATTGTGCTGTCACAGTGGCAGTCACAAGGAGGCTTGGACAGGGGCCCTGCCCCCGGGGGACTCACCGTCCAGCTGGAATCAGCTGCCATATTAATAACATAAAACCGTCAGGCACAGAGGGGTGGTTTTATGTATAGAATGCACCTGAGAATCAAATGGGGACCTTAAATACATTCAAGTGTATGGACCAAGGCCCACAAATGACCTAAGAGGTCCTTGTGGGTGTCCCAAGTGTCTATCAAGTGTTTCACAAATGATGTGTCTGGTGAAAAACCACTGCTGATGGAGGTTAAGAGCACAGGTTGTGGAGCCAGCTTGTTTCTAGGTTCCAGTCTCAGTTCTGCCACCTCTTGTCCTTTGGGCCCTGGGGAGGGTATTTAACTACTGAGCCTGAGTTTCATCTACAGATGGGGGACATTAATGCCTTCCCCATGTTGTGAAACTGAAATGATAAGACTTTGATGGTGTAAGGGTAAATCTAACTTGGAATATGGGCCAGGCTTAGGGACCCATTTCTAATGCACATGACAGTAGGAATGCTTTGTGACTTCTGAGGCCAAATCATAAAAAGAGTTGTTTCTGCTGTCTGGCATGTAGATTACTCATTCTGGGGAAAGACTTCTTGTCCAAACATTTTTGAGATAAAATTCACAAAGCATATAATTTATCCTCTCAAAATGTATAATTCAGTGGTTGTTAGCATAGTCACATTGTTCTGCTTTGTGCTTACCATTATTTAATTCCAGAACATTTCCATCACCTCCAAAAAAGAAACCTCAGGCCTGTCAGCAGTGAATTCCTCCCTTTCCCCTAGCCCCTGGAATAAACCAGTCTGCTTTCTGTCTCTATAGATTTGCCTGTTCTGGACATTTTATATAAATAGAATCAAACAATATGTGTGCTCTTGTGTCTGGCTTCTTTCACTTAACTATAATGTTTTCAAGTTTCATTTATGTTGTAGCATGTGCTAGTACTTCATGCCTTTTTATTGTGGTAAAATATACATAACAATATTATAACCATTTTAAAGTGTGAATTTAAGTGGCATTAAGTATTTTGTTGTGCACTAATCACCATCGTCCTTCCCCAGAATTTTTCATCTTCCCAAACTGAAACTACCCACTAAATGATAACTTTCCATTCTCCCCTTCCCCCAGCCCCTGGAAACTACCATTGTACTTTTTGCCTTTGAATTTGACTACTCTTGGTAACTTATGTAAGTAGAATCATACAATATTTGTCCTTTTGTGTCTGGCTTTTTTCACTTAAACTTAATATTTCTAAGGTTCATCCATGTTGTAGCATGTATTGGTACTCCATTCCTCCTTATGGCTTAATATTCCAGTGAATGGATATGACAATTTTTGTTTACGCACTTATAATTTGATGGATATTCACGATGTTTATACTTTGAACTTATGATTAACGATACTATTAACAATCATATACAAATTTTTATGTGAACATACGTTTTTTAGTTTTCTTGGGTATGTATCTGAAACTGGAATTTCTAGGCTATATAGTAACTCTTTAACTTTTTGAGGATCTGCCAAAGCATTTTCCATAGGAGCTGTACCATTTTAGTCACAACAGCAATGTAAGAGGTTAAATTTTTTCACATCCTCTTCGGAGCTTGTTATTCTCTATTATTTTATTTATTTATTTTTTTGGTTCCAGTCATCCTTGTGGGTGTGAGATGGTATCTCATTGTAGTTTTGATTGGAATGTACCAAATGAATAATGTTGGGCATTTTTTCATATGGTCATTGGCTACTGTATATATTTTTAAAATTTATTAATTTATTTTTGTTATTAATTATTCATCTTCTTAATACTTGGATGAACCATAGGAAAATTCTCAAATATGCTAATTTTAAACCCCAAACATTATCTTTAAAAATGAGATTGCAGCCCTGGCTGGTGTGGCTCAGTGGATTGAGTGCCGGCCTGTGAACCAAAGGGTCACCGGTTCGATTCCCAGTCGGGGCACATGCCTGGGTTGTGGGCCAGTTCCCCAGTGAGGGGTGTGTGAGAGGCAACCATACATTGATGTTTCTTTCCCTCTCTTTCTCCCCCCTCCCCATCTGCCTAAATAAATAAAATCTTTAAAAAAAACAAAATATTTGAAAAAGATTGCAGACTTCTGGTCAAGATGGCAGCATGGGCAGACATGGGTTGCCTCTTCGCACAACCACATCAAAATCACAAGTAAAATATAGAAATAACCATCACTTAGAACCATCAGAAATCAAGTTAAATGGAAGTCTGA